AGAAGATTTTCTAAAATTTTTGATTGCTTTCTCATACTTTATATTTGTTTGTTTATTATTATTCCTATTATAATATAAAAGTAAAATACAATCATGGTCTATAAAAGATATTATAGGGATAATCTGTGTACATTTTCCAAAGCCTTCCATCATACTATCGATAGTATCCTGCTCACCCTAGGTGCGTCAAATGCACCGGTGACCACGGCACGACCGAGTGCTCGCGGCCGAAAGATTGCGCAGATCCACCGGACTGCGTAAACTGTCACACCACCGGCCACCCGGCTAGTTATAGAGGCTGCGCTAAGGCCCCGAAAACTCCCGCGAGAAAATCTCCCGCGAAATCCACTCTACCCAAACCCGCGCCCGTACCCGTCACAAACGCTTGGGCGAAACCCCAGGTGGCCGCGCAGGTAGTCACGCCCCCGGTCGCCTCACGACCGATCGCACAATCGCAGCCCGCCTATCAAACGGCGCCGAGGCCACAGGTGCAGCCAACTCCGTCGGTTTTCGCAGAAAACAAGGACGACCCGTTCGCGCAAATCGCCAACATCTGCAGCCTATTAGACCGAATCAATAGGCAGGAACTCGCCGTATTGTCCGCTAAAATAGCGGCCGCCACATCTGGCAACGAGCGCCTTAGAGCAATCAGCCAACACAAAAACGCAATACGCGTGTAGGTTAGCGCTCACCGGCCACAGGCCGCTTGTACTAGTCTCAGCCTACCTCTCGGGGAACAAAACCTTATTACAAAGCGACCTAGATACGCTACTCAACTTAGGAACTTCCGTGATAATTGCAGGAGATCTAAACTGCAAACACGGTTCATGGGACATCCATAGCATCCCAAATAACAACGGAAAGCATCTCTTTAGCTTATCCGATAATTTAAACTTTAGCATAATCGCTCCTACGACTCCCACTAGGTATCCTACGGTGGACAACTACCAACATGCGACACCGACTGACACCACTGTCGGGCGACCGACGGTTAAACTTTCCGCCTGACCTAAGACTGCTAATTAGACAGAAAAATGCAGCCAAACGCGCTCGACCGATACCGATCGGAATCGAACCGAACCCTACTTCGACGCCTTCATCTAGAAGTCAAAGATCGTGTATCGGAACACCGACATACAACGTGGGACACTCTCCTAGAGGACATCGAGCCATCGCACACCGCCTACTGGCGGTTGGCCCGCAGTCTGACAGCAGACCCCCGCGAATCTCTACCGCCGTTAATTAGACCTAATAGCGCTTCAGTAGCCCTAGATGACTCCGAAAAAGCCAAATGCCTTGCGGACAACCTAGAGCAGCAATGTACGCCATCGCGCGAACACACCGATACAGTCCACCTAACGGAGGTGGACCGCGTAATCGAGACTAGGGCTGCGCTTCCACCGGAAGGCGATCCTTTAAGTTCAGTGACCCCCGAAGAGGTCCAAGATATTATTAAAAATTTAAAACCGAAATCCACCCCGGGCCCAGATAATATCAGTAACAAAATTCTCAAAGCTCTCCCTGGGCCGCTTATATCTTTACTGGCGACCATTTTCAACACTCTACTCTCCAGTTGCTCCTTCCCGGACGACTAGCAACAAGCCACGGCTATCGGCATTCGCAAGCCAAATAAACCAGCCAACCAGCCCTCTAGCTATCGTCCCATCAGCCTCCTCAGTTGCCTGGGGAAGCTCTACGAGCGGGTCTTATTAAACAGGCTCAAAGAGCACGTATTTTCCAACGGCCTTCTGCCGACGGAACTATTCGGCTTTCGAGCTCGACGCTCTTGTCCCGACCAGTTATACCACCTAACGGAGCACATCCTAAAAGGCCTAAACCACCCGAAACATCAGTACAGGGGCTCTTTTCTTCGATGTCGCAAAGGCATTTGACAAGGTCCTGCACAACGGCTTGCTTTAAAAGCTATACACACTCAAAGTGCCAGATAGGCTCGTACACACCATCCGGGCCTTTTTGTTGAATCGCTCTTTTCGATATCGAGTCGAGGGCACCCTCTCCACAAGCCGCCGCCTCACGGCCGGCGTACCACAAGGCTCCTGCCCCTCACCTTTGCTCTTTACGCTCTACACGAGCGACATACCCAAAGACCCCCACGTCAATCTCGCGCTTTTCGCGGATGACACCGCGCTCTTTTATTCAGACCGCAACCTTCGAATACTAACTACTCGGCTCCAAAGCGCCGCCGACCGCCTCGGCGATTGGTTCCGCAAATGGAGAATAGAAATAAATCCCGAAAAGAGTGTGGCGATTCACTTCACACGAAGTACTTACCCGTCACATCTTTATAATGGCCCTCGCCAATGCAGAAAGTTGGGGCAAATATCCCTTTATGGCCAACCGCTTCCCTGGGAGTAAAAGATCAAATACTTAGGAGTCACTTTCGACTTGCGTATGTTATTTACTACGGACATTAATAACGTTCGTAATAGAGCCGCGTTCGTCTCCGGCCGGCTACACAATTTAACTAACGCTAAAAGTAAAATGCCCTTAAGACACAAATTATTATTATATAAGACCTGTTATAAGACCTATTATGTCCTACGCATGCATGATCTTCGCCCACACGTACCCTACTCGCTTGTACAAGCTGCAAATAGTACAAAATAAGTTCATCCGCCGTGCAACCGGTGCGCAGTGGTATCAACGCAACGTCGATTTGCACAGCGATTGCAGACTCCCGACGATTCGCGAATATTTTAGAGACCTGACCAAACGGTTCTTCGATAGACCCGAACATCATCCCAACTCTGGTGGTAAACGCAGCAAATTACCAACCCGACACAAACGCGAACGTCAACAAGCGTCGCCCGCGAAACGTCCTCATCGACCCGGTCGAGGAAAGGGACTTAGATACGCCGGACCCACCGCCGGGGGTTCCGCCGGATAACACTACACCCACAGCTAGTGTGACAACAAACACAATAGTTTGCCCTCGCCTCCGAGCACGGCGAGACCAACACAACGCGTACACGAGGTACACCCGCGTTCAAGGGCGATTCTCGTTCGTACAACAACCGAGGCTGCTCCGTGGCCCTATCACCGTTAATGTGAAGTGTGCGGAAGTAAAATGTGAAGATTCAATTTTATATGTATTGTATGTCATATCTCAGGTACCTGTTCAATTTTATATGTTATATCTCAGGTACCTGTTATTCTTGTAAATCGCTAATATAATAATAATAATTGGTTAATCAATTCAGCTCTCAATACGCTTGCGAGGACATAATTATTGTTTTACACGAGTGATTTTGGAGCTTCTTCAAAAAAGCCCCCCTTCCCCAGAGCCAGGGTTGGTTGAACTAAAGGTCTTAAATGACTTGCTTATTGTTGGAATTCAGCAGTTCTTGAAAGTGAAACAAAAAACTATTCGACGAGATTTAGGTTAAGTAGGTATTATTGTATATATAAGAAATCCATCCTGTACCATTTGAGGATAGTAAAATTATACTATATATAGGAAATCAGAGTTGGTATTAAATGAATGAAAACAGATTATTTGTAAATATATATTTTAAATCATAATGAAAGGTATATCATTTTAAATTGAAACACAAGATTGTGTTCGCTATTCGTACTGTGATAAAAACAAAATACTTTATATACTTTGCGAACCCTGATGTATGGCTATAAACATACTAATTTAAAACGCACTAGCATGGCTTATCTAGTAGTGTTCTTACTCAAATAAAGCTCAACAGCTACATCCCTACTACATGTCACTAGAAACACGCCCTAAACAGTTAAGAACTTTATTATATTGTCTTTAAGTTATACTTTGAATCTACGCTATTTTTAAATTCATGGTATTTAATGAAACATATTTTGATGACGTACCTTTAATACATTCAAAATATATGTTTGGTAATAAAATATTAATAAAATGGAGTCAATTTATTAAAAAAACTTTGTAACAAACAAGTTTTCGAGATCAAAACTAAATTTAATATAACGCTTGATGCTAGTGTATTAACTATAAAACGTATTGAAAGTATAGGTATACATTTATTACAAATATTATTATCAATTGATACTTTTAACAGCCGGACTGCATTGTTTGAAATTTTCAATATTTATCGATATCTGATAGTTTAAAATATTATTAGGTACTTATAAATAAACTTAAAGAAAAACAAGATAGAATTTATGAAAATAGTCGCTAATTCCGTCCTGCAGTATAATCGATTAAGTTATCAACAGGTATAAATTGTGTGAATTCTGACTAACAATATCAATCGTCCTTTTAACCACGATTGTTGAACGACGCAATTTTTTAATAAGTTTGAAACTGATTATATTTCTGTAAATATTTTTTATCAATATAAACAAACTTCGTTCGTATTTGCAAAATATTTTATTTTTTGTTGTTAGGGCGGGATTATGTTATTTAATCGATTTTTTAATTATTAATATATAAACTATTTCACCACTAATATCAAAGTACTAATAATATTATAAATATATTTCATGTCATTATAATTCCGATTAATCATTTTTGATAAAATATTAAAAAGTTAGTAATACATTGTTTGACGCACCAGAAAATTGCTTAGAGGAATATTAATTGCAGTTTACTATGGATACTATTATTTTTGCTATTTTATTCAACAAAAGTGGTTACTTTCTTTAAACATCGTTAGGAGTTGAGAATTGTAAAGAAAAACGACACATTATTAGGTATTAACATAATAATTGAATGCATTGTGACCACTTCAAAACATCTTCTACACTAACTACAACAATTTACAAAAAAGGAATATTTAAGTTACCGCTGCACTTTAACAAAAGAGGAACTATATTAATTTTAGGATATAATACTTGGATAATATATAATACATCAAAAATGAACAGTGCCAATGTTTTTTTTTAATATAATGTAGTACATCTTATGTGTCCGACTTTGTGTCACATCAACATTAATTACGAACAGGTTTTGTACTATGCCAAGTAAAGAAACTGGCCTAACTAAATGATTAGAATTAATTTTGCTCTGTGGAGGGGCGTCGTGCGTTGTTCCGCTGCGGTATGACGAACTCCGCGTGCCTGGGCGCGCTGAACGGATTTGTTGGCGCGAAAGGAGCGTTCACTGACGACTGGCGTTGTGCCGGTGGCGGTCTACGAACAGGGCTAGTGGATCTGCAAATGTTTGCTAATGTTGGCAATAGCTCTCATGAGTTTTTTTCTTAACGGAGCATGGACAGGAAAGCGTGGCGGCTCAAAAACGGACTATATGTCAGTTTAATTTATCGCGATCATTGTTTTGAATTTTGAACATATCAATCAGCCTTAGGTTTTTTCCCGAACACCACCACGCTTGCCGATCAGTAGCCGTTTGCATCAAATAAACCTTAAATAGTTTTAGTTAACACATCTTAGTATTAAATTAATTATTCTATTCTTCAAGTCTGTTATGATTGGCGTACTTAGGAACTGTGTTGAGGTCTGCGGCGGCAGAGAGCTGACGAGGCGGGAGTGCGGGGGGAGGGCCTGCGGGCCGCGTAGCACCACTTACACGCCGCGGCACCTACAATATATGTGTGTACTATTTTGTCGCATGGTCCTTCGAGCCGGATGATGTTTAAAATATTTAATTATATACATCTTTTTTACGCAAGTTCTAACAATAATAACGCAATAATGAATGAAAAAAGCGTCATAAGCATTAAAACTATGTCAAATGAACTATCCAACAAAATGTATTTTCTAATAATTCACTGTATAATTTTTACATAATTGTATATACTGTCGTTGAAATCTTATTATTTAATTATTTGCACAAAAGAAAAAAAAAACAATGTGTTATTATTTAAAGCGAGCGTAGTTGTCTGTCGTATTGTTTTATAAATACACTTAAATATTTAAAAAATTAAATATAAACATATTCATGAAAACACGTAGTTGACAAGTTATATAGTTACTTTCCCCGTGAAAATAGTTTCATTCAATAAGGAAACTCACTTGGGGGGGATCGTGTGACCGGTATGCAGCCGTTTGAGACTGTGCTCGCGCAAGTCTCTCCTGTATAGGTGCCGGCGGCGGCGGGCGGCGTGGGGGCAGGCTCTCGGTTCTATGCGCCAAAGGCTTTTCTTGAACGCCTTCGCGTTGCCTGTCCACTCTATCCATGCTGCTCCTCCGGTCCACGTTTGTCCTCTCGGGGCTGCCGTACTCAACCCTCGCTGCGGGGGGACTTGACCGCGCCACATCCTCTTGTTGCCTGTCGGGACTACTCCGAGGCGATTCCGTGTAATGTCTGTTAGAGGCACCACGCAACTGCCTTTCTGGTAATGTCCGCTGCCTTTCCGGAGACGCTCTCATGTTGCTGTCGCTACCACTGCCGCTCTTTGTGTAAACTATTTTTGATTCTAACCGACTCTCAGATTTCTCCATCTACGGGCAATGGATTAGCTCAACTCACATTCAAGTATATAATCAATTTAAGCGACAATTTTGTATGGTACGTAGTGTATACGATAGGTTCAGTCTGCGGTTGGATTTAATTACGAAAATGACAAAAACTTAGAACAATAAATGACCAGCTACTTTAATTTTAATATTTTCTTTTTATTTAATACTTTGCATGTAACAAATGTTTGTACATGTAAGTTACTTAAATGGTGACAAATGTTACTAATAAATTCGTTATGCCTACTTGTAGACTTGATCGCGTGGTATGCCTAATCTCCGAGCTCGAGTCGGAGGTAGAACTCTTCCGCGTCACAGTTTGTGGAGCAGCTTCGGCCTTGGTCGCAGTGGACGTTGCTTCTTTACGGGTGGGTTCGGGCGATGGGGGCGGCAGTCTGGCAGCTTGTTCCAGGATAGCTTTCCTTTGCTCTTGCCCGGCCGCAAAGTACGAGAACACGCACAAAACCGCATAGCAAATTTGGTCGGCCTGAAAACAGATGTTAGCGCTGTTGTATGTTCAGCAATTAAACGCGTTTCGTGTTAGTACCCTGACGATGGTAGTCACAACACGTCACTGATTTAGTTAGTCTCAATTCTGCGTAGCAATACTTGCGAGTAAATAATTTAATATATGTACGTTATGTTGTTACCTGATAGTAATATTATATGATATTAAAAAGTCATTACAAAAAAAAGTGTTTAGATGTATCTAAACACTTTTTTACTTAACGTATGAAAATTAAACAAAGTTTTAAAAGTAAAGGTTAATTTCAAAATTACTTTAATGTGCAAAGCGAGTGTAATTTACTTCCGAGATAATAAGTAAAAATGAAATTAACTCAATACTCATTATTTTTCCAATAAAATAAAAAAAACGTCTAAAACAGTTAAAGCGAAAACACGAAAAGACATGCGAAAACAAAATACATAGTGGAAGTACATACATCAGAGTGCGTTATGAGACAAACGTGCATAATTCGTGTCGGCTCCGTCTGTCTCGATAACGACAAAGTACCGAGAAAGCCATATGGAGTAGAAACGATGGAGGTCAAGCACTACTTTCTCTGCCTATAACATAAGACATGGAATCGTGAAAGGAAAATAAACAAAAACAACATAAAACACTGGGATGCATCGGTTCATATCTAAGGATACTTACCATTATCGATTTATATTTTCTCTGAATTATCTGCCTTGTTTTTGGATCTGAAAATAGCATTACATAATAATGTTATATTTTTTTACATTTGCTCGGATATTACACATTTTAAGAAAACTATTTCAAACATTTTATCACAGTTTTTTGGCGTTTGAAACTCCCCACAATTCAAATAAGTAACTACTTTGAAGGTTTGCATTAGTGATTATTGAACGGATGGACGATATCTTAAAAAAATGGGATGGAAATTATCCTTACACGTAATAAGTTGCACTTGGTAAAGAAAAAAAACATTATTTTTTGAGAAAAAGTACTTACTAAATTCTTCTAAAACGAAGATACCACCGTTCTGGGTGAAGCACTTCCGAATATGATCGAGCCGAACAAAGAACTGGAAAACAAACAACCCCATAAAACACGAGAAAGTGTTATTTAATTATAAGAATAGTGCTATTTTTTATTTACGTGAACCAAAGTGATTAATACATAGTAACATGAGTTGATATTTATTTCACGGTCTTAGAAGAAACGTGATTTGTTTGCAAGAGAAAGCTTTGTACATTGAGGTACCTAAGTATTTTAACATATTTAGGATCTTTTTAATGAAACTGTGTAATATGCAAATGCAAAATGCGACAAAACTTCTAATTTTATGAGGTGAAGTTAAAAAAAACTAGCGCTGTATTTATTACGTACAAAAAGAAATAAAAACTAAGCTTAAACAGAAAATTCAGGTACAAATTTAACAAATGGTAGTAGAATTGTCGTCTTAAGATTAGCTTTGTTAAATTAATGTACTTTCCTCTTTTTAATATCTTGGGCTAATTAAATGTTAAGTTTAAAACATTCAATTAGATTTTTGCATAGCTACAAAACTAAGTACGTTTACTACTAATATATTTTGTATTGTGAATTCTTTGAACAATTTCGTATAATAACGTACTACACGTTTATGCGGAATTATTCAAAGAATTGTAGCACATTAAAGAATATCTATTTTAAATCATGCATTATACATGCATACATGCGAAATGGGCATTGAGGAACGAGATACAGAACTACAAAAACATGTCGCACTCAATTCGTGGTTGATGAATCGCTTGATTCTTCAACGCCAAATACTCTCGAATATGACATTCAGTAGCCAGCAATGCTAGGGCAAAAATGCGAGGCGGTGGCGGGTGTCAGTTGGCGGTGGTGGTGCTGAGTGCGAGGTCAGGACCGCATTGGGGTGGGCCGTTTCGACCGCGCGGGTGGGCGGGTGCGGAGGGTGGTGGGTCGGAGGGGGGGGTTAGGCAGTATGTGCGGAGGGCAACGCGCGGCAGAGCCCCGAGCCGCGCCAGAACTTGTGAGATGGCGAATGCTCTACGACTGACCTCGTGACTCGCGTCCGCTAAGCTCGTATCGCTCGTGACGCCCGCTCGGGTTCCGGGTGAATGGGGGACCAAATTACTAAAACCTCGACACACGGTGCGAGAGCGAAAGAACGGGACCGCTCGCCGGATCCGTGATACGTATGCAAGCTGTCTGGTGCGTTAATGAACAAATAATAAACAAAGGGCGTCTATGTGCATGCACGACGCGCTTCGGCGCTCGCCGCACTGGGGATTACTAAAACAACGCTAACAACGGCTAATAAACAATCGGTAAGCCTCAAAACTACAAGTAAAGCCCTACGACCTCGGACGATCATCGCTAGTCGCGCGTTGCGGTGGCCGTGATCGTGAACGTGATCATGAGGGTCGCAAAGGTCGTGCCGATCATCGTAAGAGCCAGCCATTACTAGGTTATGAACCACTGAGTACCTCGAAATCCTTTAGCGCAGCGGCGCGGGTTCAGGCGTGTCCGGAAAGGGTAGAACAGACAAAAAGAAGATAATTAGTTGAGGGCGGCCGAGCGCGTGTCAAGGACCATCTCAAAAGTTCCTAGGGGGCGACAGGCGGCGCCCTCACTGCGCACTCCAGCGGAATACCAATCATTGCAGACAATAGCACATGCACAAATCATATGGAATCGACTTAAATTAGATGGACGACGGTAACCTTAAAATGCAGAAAAATTCTAACTATTACATCGAATTAGTGTTAGAGAAAGAAAGGGCAAAGTACGATTTTAATTAGATATAAGCCGTATCGACAAAATAAAGGTAATGGAGAATTCATCATATAATAGGTATATATAATTATATACATAAATATAAATAAACAAACTTAGTATACAATAAATACAATAAATGAATCTGTAACATTTTTGAGATACAAATAAAAGAATAAAGTAATTGGAAATAGGAAAATTTGAGTGGTCCTTGCATCGGGATATATACTTGGTTCAGCTGCTTGGGGGCATTGACATCTAACTCATAGGTACATGACAACTGTTTTGCAAACAGGTACAAAAACATATCATGTTGATATTTAAACCCCCTATTTATTTGAATTATCTCCCGTTAAGTATTTAATATGCGAAAGTATTGGGGCTAATACAGTAGAATTATGATTGTTACCTGCACACTATTTAAACACGAAGGCGTCGGCTGATTGGGTTTCTGTCTCAATGTCGTGGACTGTCATAGTCTAATACGACATTCTTTATATGCCTTCATTTTATACGTCTCCCAAAAACCAAGCGTTTACACTGACAAATGCCTTACCTGATATCATTCATACATATAATGATAATACCAAAACTGCTCTCTGCGTCTTACTGTCTAGTCACTGATCAATCGGCGATTGTTTTGGTATATCACTGCAAATACATGTAATAAGCTGACGATAATTACAAACATAAAGAAATGTGCACCATACCTTGCTGTGTTGGAATAGAAGACCGACGCCCTCCATGCACACCTTAAAATTTATTATATTTGTTTACAACACATTTATTCTACAAGGTAACTTACATCTAATCACTTTTTAACACAAGCTCTAATGTTTGTAACCCTTCTCGTTATTATGTGACATTAGCAATATCGCAATGACAATGATTTTAAAAAAAGCTTGTTTTGTAAACGAACTTTTAATAATAAGTAGCATCTTTCCGCGACAGTGCCGCGTAAAATTTCACAAAAAATGTTAATGTTTAATGTACAATCTTAAGTGCAGAGATTAGCACTATAATAAATTTAAATTTCTAAAAAGCAATGGCGACATCTCTAGTTCGAATTATCGTGTTAAAACGATATTTGAAATTGTTGTATGCTGGAAAGGATATAACAATGGATGCGCCAAGCATTGCTTCAAATGCTAAAAAACAATGTAGATAAAAGATGTTAAGATTTTCGTCGGTGTGGCTATCGGCCGTTTAACTCAGTGGCTAGAGCGTCAGGCCGCGAATGCCGAAGACGTGGGTTCGATTCCCACAGCGGCGACAATCTTTTCGTACTTTTTCTACATATTTTAATGTACAATCATAAGTACAGAGATTAGCACTATAATAAATTTAAATTTCTAAAAAGCAATGGCGACATCTCTCGTTCGAATTATCGTTGTAAAACGATTTTCGAAATTGTTGTAAGCTGGCAAAGGATATATCAATGGATGCGCCAAGCATTGCTTCAAATGCTAAAAAACAATGTAGATAAAAGATGTTAAGATTTTCGTTGGAGTGGCTATCGGCCGTTTAGCTCAGTGGCTAGAGCTTCAGGCCGCGAATGGCGAAGACGTGGGTTCGATTCCCACGGCGACAAACTTTTCGTTCTTTTTCTACATATTTTAATAAAAAAATGTTCATTCAATAGTAGCTAACAAATTCAATATTATGCTTATACCTCTAGTGTATTCGTTGAATTACATATTCTACAATAGTATCTGAACGTATAAGTTTTAGTTCTTATATCTAAACTTAATCGACATTAGAATTGGCAATTGCATTTTGGTAGTATGAAGATATGCATGTACCTGAATAAGCCCGCCTTCGCCTGTAGCACAATCTTGTACCGGAAATTCGCCACCCAACTCGGCCGCATCCTGCCGCCGCCCACTTTTCTCCATAGATTCTTTGATGCAGTAGTACAAAGCTTTGCACTGTTTCGTTGCAAAAAATAAAGTTGTTATTCAATTTAATTACCTTCATTTTTAACATATTTTTTTTTCTTTCTTGGTAAATTTTTAATCGGTCGTTAGACTATAAGCGAGTGAATTTCGGTGTATGGGTAGCCGCTCTATGTATTGTGTTTTCTGTACCACCCGATCTCAGATATCAGCATCTTCAGATATTCATGAATTTCATTATTTGTGGTGAACCAAGAAGCGTGGACCATTGCCAGTGCAATTTTGTAATCGTTGTAGACAGAGTATGTTACTTTTATTTGTAACACCCCATACCTGTATTCCGTATGTCCAAACTGGTTTCAACAACGAATTGTAGATAATAAGCCTGTTGTCTATCAATTTAACATAAAATGACTTCAAAAATTTAACTCATTGAATAAAATTTAACTGTAGCTTAAATAGTTACGTATGCAGAACAGTCTAAATTTTTTTAGTAATCTTAACTGTTCATAGAAAGTTATATGTAATTCCCTTTTTTTATGTGAAAAGTTGCCAAACGAGCAGGCGGTTCACCTAATGCTAAGTGAATACCGCCGCCCATGGACATCTGCTACACCCGAGGGGCTTGCTGATGACCTTTTTGGAAATTGGGCTACCTCACTCACCAGACGAAACGCGAAAGTATTTGTCATACTTCCACTTTACGCCGGTCTTCTGTGAGGTCGTGGTACTTACCCGGACGAGCCTGCCCATTCGTGCAACAGCCGAGGCTGCTGCGTGGCTCTACCACCGATCTTCCTAACAAGATCTCGTACATTATGCTTTGCAAAACAAGTTAGAACTGAACTAAGCTTACCTTTTTCGTATAATATTTATGCAGCTGCGTCTGACCACCGTTCTTTCTCCAAAGGCACAGGACTCGTATTTTCGGGCTGTACGTCATGTTGACAAGACGCTCGAACCACCATCGCTCCACTATAGTACCTGTTGGGATTCCTTGACTTTTGAGGCGAATTCTTATTCATCAGTTTAGTATAACATTAAGCAAGAAAATAATAAGACAATCTTATACTTCCCATGACCACAGAATTTAAACCGTTATTGGGTGTGTTTTCGATGCTCGAGGATTTATTACCTACTAGACTAATGTTTTTTTTATTTGTTAGAAAGTGGCAAGCAAGCATGCTGTTCACCCGATATTAGTGATAAGCGCTGCCCATAAATATCAGCTTCATCCGTAGGGTTGCAGATGCGTCGCCACCTTTTGATAAAGTGGGCTCCGGTTACATCACTACCAAGGCAAAACGCAGAAGTATATCACCTCCAAATTCACGCCAATCTTCTGTAAGGTAGTGATATTTACACTAACGAGCCTGCCCATTGGTGCAACGGTAAAGACTGCTGCGTGGCCCTACAGTAGAAAAAATAGTGCGTGGAGTCCCTCGCCCTCCACGCGGAAGAATTGAAACTTCAAGTGCCACTCATTTACTCTCGCTCTGTCTCTTTCTATTCTCCCTCCCCAGGAGCGTTGAATATTTAATGCAACAGTGCTTTCATACCCCCTCCACTGAAGCGTTGAACGTTTAACGCAACCTTTTTGGAAATCGCATTAGAAGCTTCACTTCAAAAAAAAAATTAAGTATTGCGACGGACCTTGCGTGGAGCGCAGAACGAGTCCGTCGTCTCGCACTTCCATGAATCGCAGTTCACCGCTCGCGTCCCCTTCGTGCACCGTGAAGGAAACCCGCCGCAGCAGCCGCGACCCGAGAGGCTTCAGCTCGATGTCATTCCCGTGCTGGTTACAAGAGCCACGTGCCGAGCCGCAGAGTTTACAAATTATAAATGGCTCTATGTTTAAATTAACACAACGCATCTGGGTGTTTTCTCACGTGAAATTTATGTTTGTAAAACGTCCTTACAAGCTTAAAAGACAGGATAATGTTTTTTTTTTAAAGTAAGGCCAAATTCGGCTAGAAAATTGGAATGTAAAAAAAATATAAATATAGCGCGGTTTTGATATGTTTCGGTTTTTAAAAAGAAAACATTTGGCATGTACATACTCACCAAATTATGAACGACGTCAAGCAGATGATTGACCTCTTGGCTGTATACCAGACCGATGTGACTTTTAGCTAGTAATCGGCGTACTTTATTACGCACTATATCGGCTTCCACCCCGAAAAGCACCATAGCTGCGGTTAAGTTGTATAGGGCTGTCGAGAGAAGTCTATCTTCTTCATGCTCTAACCGTTTCCTTTCCGTCTCGCTCAGGCACTTGTAACGCTCCATCATTTCGTTGGCGCCTTGATCCATACCTATCATGTCCCTCTCTTGACTTACGGCGTCTAAGAAGGCGTCTTCCCAGAATTGCATTTGGTCCCACAGATTGGATCTTTCTTTACCTTAAAACAAAGTGATCCGTTAAGTCAATGATATATACGTAACGCTTTAGCGTATCTGGGTATCGGAAATTTATACAATTTTTTGACAATTCTACAAAAAACTCATATATACGGCACAGTCGGTCTAGCACAAAAATAACATTACTCAATAAATTGTTGATTATATATATATATATATATAATACATATATATTTATATATATGAGTATTTTATTTATGTATGTATTGTATTTTAATAAATTGTATACATGAGTTTTTTGTAGAATTGTAAAATAGTTGTATAAATTTCCGATGCCCAGATACGCTAAAGCGTTACGCGGAAGACGCAGATTCGAAGTCGTTTTGTAGCCTTTATGTGGTTCAGTGTATAAGTCGAAGGCCACTTTAGATTTTTCCTTACCTATTAAACCCTGGTAAAGATAAGTTCTTGCGGTGTCGGGCGATGTAAGTGGCGAAGTGGTTGGCACTCCTACAGGAGGGCGATAGGCACTAAGTGAGGACTTAGAAGAGAAGACGCTTGCAGCTCTGGGCTTAGCGGTTGTCAGGCCACCCCTTGTCGCCTGCTGAATTGCAATGTCCTTATTAATATTGCATCATATTAGCCTTTGTCTCCGCGAATTTAGTGCAATTAACGAACGAACAAATCGAATGTGCAATGAATTGTTGGATTAAATCGTTTTGTGGTATTTTTGGTCATTATATGGAAATAGTGAAGTGATTGGAATTAATTATCTATTAGAAATTTATTTAATTACAGTATTAGTTATGACATACAGTTTTACGACTATGCATGGTGGTTTGAACGGTGGGAATTCTGAATGCATTTAAACGCATGTTTGTAAGCCAAAGAAAAATTTTTTTTATTAAAAAACCGACCAAGTGCGAGTCGGACTCGCGCACGAAGTGTTCAGTACCATTATGTATAAAAACGGCAAAAAAATCATGTATCGGAGCTCCACTTATATTTATATATTTGTTTTTTAGTATTTGTTGTTATAGCGGCAACAAAAATTTATCACATGTGAACATTTTAACATCTAACTATCACGGTTCACCAGACTGGTGACAGACGGAGAGACAGACAGCGGAGTCTTAGTAATAGGGTCCCGTTTTATCCCTTGGTTACGGAACCCTAATAATGAGTTTGATATGTGTTTTACCAAACGTTTTAATGTTTTAAAATAGTATAACTGAAAGAAAATAGGTACTTATGTGTAATTGAATAGAACGCCCCTTCAAATAATTATAATTAAAAGAATAAATATAATTATAGAGTATATTAGTTATATCTTCAAAAACACCTTCTCAATTATAGAGTCGTTTTAATCCGTAACCTTTTGTATATACTCCACTGAAAGCCATGCATGATAAAAGCCATTTAATAATTACAGTTCAAGCTTAACTACATCACGACAAATATTATTATGATAAATATTATCATAAGTTCTGCTCGAATACAAGCTCTAATCCAAAGCTATATATATACAACTTTCGAATTTCGCTATCGCTTTTGCCTCGAAAATTTAATAACTATAGAAATTACGCTACACTACCATCAACAAGACTTTGTCACAACACTAACTAAGACTTACATTGACGAACATGACGTCAGTGTCAGAGAGGTTGGATTTAAAGGAGGCGCGGTGTTCGAAGAGATTGGCTCGGTTCGTCGTGATAGAGCCGCTCTCGTCGGCGGAGCAGTCCGACGAGTGCGCCGCCTGTCACGCACACAAACAATACCAACTATCCAAATTGAAGCTGACATTAACATAAGCCGGCTTCGGGCTTCGGAAACTAATATTACACGTGCTCACTGTGGTAGGGCCACGCAACAGTATTCGCTGTTGCACGAATGCGGATGTCAGCCCACGAAAGTACCCCGACCTCACAGAAGACCGGCGTGAAGTAGAAGTATTATACTTCTGCGTTTCGTCTGGTGAGTGATCTAGCCGGGATCCTATTTGTTTAAATGTGGCAACGCATCTGCAGCCCTACGGGTGTTGCAATTATCCAAGGGCGGTGGTTATCACTTACCATCAGGTGAACCGCCAACTCGCTTGCCACCTTTTCATATAAAAAAAACATAGCCATAGCCAACGAGTCGATCACAGTAAAACATCGCCGCTAGCTAGCTTTAGTGTAGAAATTAGAAAACAATACGAATTTCACTACACAAAACGTAAATATGTCTTACATAAGAAGTCTTACATTATGAAAAGCGACACATAGTGATTGTGCACATTAACTAAGCTTGTGGTAATATGTAGATCACGACACGTTTTTAAGATTTTTATTTCTTATGAAAAGTTGGCAAGAGAGCAGGCGGTCCTCCTGGTGTTAAGTGCTTACGAGTATCATCATTTTCAATACCTGACTGTTTGCAGATGCGTTACCTGACGGTTTGCAATGGGTCTGCAAAAGAATTGGGGTTCAGGTTACCTCACTCACCAGACGAAAATCAAAATTATAATACTTCTAATTCACACCAGGCTTCTGTCAGGCCACGAAACTTCCCAGACTAAGCAGAATATATAATATATGTTATCTAATCTTAATAAATATACACATATATGTATATACACATATATATATGTATATCTCACATATATGTATGTACATATATTATTTTAGAGATTCAGCGGTATTTTTATGGTTTCATTTCCTTGGGCAATCCACAGTTATAAATTGACGATACCAAATGAAAATATTCAAAAACATATGTGTGTGTAAATGCCAAATGTTGGGATAATTTGTCTCGGGATACAATGTATATTCCATCTTATAGTGAAACCCAGCTTTGAAAAATCCCTCCCTACTGTGTTAAAAACCTGAATTTCTTTCCTTTCTTATCATGCTTGAAGCACTTAAGGAAAAACTTCAGCCGTTTTTCAAGAACGATACCATTTGTAATGAAAAAAAGTCTATTGGTATAGTGGTTATAGTTCGTGTGCGTTTTGTTATCAATTTTATTTTTCTTTTATTTCTTCTAAATAACATAAAATTGGAAACTGTTCTGCACAAAGAGAGGCAAGAGATGGAATACATCGATACACTTTACAGTTGAGAAGCAAAGACAATTGCACGATAGAGAATGACAAATTATTCATAAAGATTTTTGTTTTACTAAAATTTAGTACAAAAATAAAACTTAATTCATATTAATGTGTAAAATTAACGTGCAACAGTAATTGCTTTTCATTTCCTTGGAATTAACAGGTAACAAAGCCTTAGGAGGCATGCTTGGAAACAACGAAGTATTTACAAATATACGTTGCTTACACTTTCGCAAAATCTCAAGAGGGTCTACATGCGACAGTATTACGACATTTATGAACTTCTATACTATAAGGCAAGCGTAGTTAACTACTTACATCCGAGTCGAATGACGTGAGTTTGCTGAAGAGAAGATTTCTTTTCTGATTCAACATGTCTTTGAACATCTCCGTAGTACTTTGTGTTTCCGTTGTATCCATTTCAGGATAATTAAGTACCGGTACATCTAAAAGTGAATGGGAATGAAAGGCGTTATTATCTACTATCATTATTAAGTCAAGCCTAAAATTTAACTACCTTTCATAATAGTAGATAAAATAAAAATATCGTATCTTATCTTATCCTCTAAACGAGCAATTCTTGTATATATATATATAATCGGAATCTCGGAAACGGCTCCAGCGATTTTCATGAGATTTAGTATGTGCGTAGATACGGGGGCGAAAAATCGATGTAGCTAGGTTTCATTTTTAGAAAATGTCCTTTTATCCATGTTTTCAGGGAATGAAAAATATCATTCGAATATGACGGTCATTTACACACTTATTTTTTTGCTTTTTTTCTATACCAGATCATTTTCTTCGGTCGGTCCTCCAGGTACTAAATCTTAACACACCAGTTTCACAAACCTGATTGCGAACTTTTCCTAGACGAGGGCGTCGAGGACGGCGTTTCGTCCTGTCTGTAGTGATCTGTGAGAGTCGAGCCCCCCATGCCGCCGTGCTCCAGCCCCGCCACCTCCTTACTCCAATAGTGTGTGTGCGCCATTTCCGCTAGTTGGAACACGGACGCCATGCCGCCCAGTCCAAAGTTGGAGTACGTATGCTCCAGGCCGTGGACGACGGCTTGCAGCACTTTCAGCATACCTTTCCAAACAGGTTTGCTGACAAACTAAAAATTAAAAAAAGTCGATTCACTCCGATGCGTTCATAAATCAATAGAAATATCAAAATATTCTACTAAATTTGTCGCATATCAATACTGATTTTAATTTTATATTTTGATATGCGATAGTCGAATACTGTAACCTACTTATGTAAATCTATAGAATACTGTCTTCGCATTATTATAATATTATGGTTATCCCACAGATTATTGATACTTACCACATCATCAACTTTGTCATTAGGTGTAGTTTTTCTGTTGAAATTTCTATTCAACTTGCTGAGAACCATATTCCTGTAGGACTCGTCTTCCATTAGCTTTTTCAGTCGGTTTAATTTTAACCAACCGACACCTTCGCCTTCCAGGACGTGTTGTACCAGCTGTTAATAATAGAGAATATTTCTATAATGACGCAATGAAGTTACTTATTTTTAGCAGATTTTTTTTAAATTGTAAAACACACCAATCGGTAAACGTACAATATTATTAATAAAATGGATTAATAAATAATAAGTTAATGAAATCCACTTGGTATAACACTTATTGTATAACTTTGTTAGTTGTAATAAGTTTTTAAATAATTTCTATGAATTGTCCATTCAAAAATATTACCCAAAAATAGTCTACAGATGTGTAGTAGGGGTATGGATAAATGTCAATATTATTATCTAGAGGCCTATTTTATCACCACACATCGCTAGTGTATCAAAATCTGGTTTTATATGCTTATAACTTTTACAACAGATTTAACAGAATTAAATCTGGTTTCCAAATTCTTTGCGAATTGCCATGCTCATTTATTTCTTCTATTTATGTGATGATGAATTTTGATTAATTTTTATGTAGGCCGGTAATTGCTAATTTCAAGGTATTGCCCCCATGTGCGTTGGAAGTGATTTTGAATCTACAAATGTGATGTTCGCTACTTTTACTTCGCCTTTTAAATTTAATAGACTCCAAAAATGAGGTTGATTGTGTGGTGCAGAAGTTTGGTTTGTCTGTAGTTCGAAATGGAAAAAAAATGGAAATTAAGAGGTTCCTTTTTTCTCGATTCATTGTTACGGATGATGGGATAATAGACAAGGGGTTCCTCTCTCGCTCAATTTATAAGTATAACTCGGCGAAGGAATAAAACTAGCGTTCTTGGCACCATACCGCGTGGACTAAGTTTGTTACATAACGTGTAGTTTAGTTAGTATTTAATATTGTAAAAAGAATCAATAAATTATTATTTATTAACAAGTTAAAATCCAGCCGCGGAACAGAAATAATTTCGTACGTTAAAATGTTATTGCCTGTCAGTGCATATAAAATATAAGGCGTGATAACAACATGGACAGAATAACAAGCTAACCGCAACCCTAGTAACAAAATCAAAATCAAATGTTTTTATTCAACATAGGAGTGTTACACTCGCTTATTGATAGTCACAATACTACCATCGGTTCGGAAAAGAAAACCACTGTACTGAGAAGAACCGGCGAAAGAAACTCAGCGGGCTTTTTTTTTTAAAAAAATTGGTCAAACACGCGTCCGTCAGGTGATTAGCACTCACGTCGTTGAGAAACGCCTGGTTCTCGGTGTTGGCCGATGTGCGTGTGGCGTGAGGGGGCGAGTGCGGCGTCGGCGTCGCGTGCCTGATGAGGGGCGAGCGCTGCACGAGCCCGCGCGCGCCCTGCGAGAACGGGCCGAACGTAGCCAGCGGGGCTGTTGAGCCAGCGCTGGCTGTCCCGCTTGCGCTCGGACTGCGACCCGCCTCCGGCTTCCCTTGCTTGCCTGTTCACAATCGACGGGCTCACGGTAGACTGCAGACGTGATGGCTCAGCGTCGGGGCGGTCGCTTTTAATCCGCTCGAGCGACGAGTTCGACGAGTTCATATCCCGGTGGATATGAACTCGTCGGTTCGGCGATCGGAGTGTAACCTTACAGAGGTTACACTCCGATCGCCGAACCGAGGAGGCCTTTGAACAGCAGTGGTACATATATAGACTGTTAATTTACGTTGGACTTCACCGCACAGCACATTGTTTTTTTGTATTGACTTCAATGTACCAGTAGAATGACTTTCAGTTAGCGACAGCATAGAACCTTTTTACCTTTCGATCCGAAGAAGTCGCTGAACATGCTCGAAGTGGAAGCAGCGAGCCCGTTGAGATCGGAACTGATGTTGGAGAAGAAGTCGCGGTGAGTTGTCGTCAGGAGGTTCGTGGTCTGCAGCGCGGTTGAGTCGCGCCTTGCGTTAGCCGCGCTCGCCGACTCTTGACTTTCCGTCTATCAATATACATTTTTTAATGAAAGTTATATCCAGATTTTAATTCCCCCTATACAAATACTTATTATGTTGGAAGACTTAAACTGGGAATTTTCAAATTCCTCGATGACAAATTTATTTAATTTGTTACAAATTATAACAGACTGACATATACAGATGAGCAATTACCAATAACAAATTTATTTAAATTGTTACAAATTATAACAGACTGACATATACAGATGAGCAATTACCAATAACAAATTTATTTAAATTGTTACAAATTATAACAGACTGACATATACAGATGAGCAATTACCAATAACACCATTTTAACACTCTTAGCGGAATACTTAAAGCACTGGTAGTTGTAGTTATTGAGATAAAAATACCTTTATCAGTAATCCCTTTTTCGCCGCGGCCTCTTTTGCACTTTTTGTAAGATCACCGAACGTGGACTTGCTAACGTACGATAGATCTTCTAAAGTGTTTTTGCTAACTGCCGTGGCAGTTTTACTGGCTTCTAGTGCTGACTTAGATGCCTCCTGCACACTTTTGGAAGCTTCCTCGGCTGCTTTTTTTGCGTGATGTGTCAGCTGGTATGAAAAAATATATAAAGTTGTGAAATAAATTTAAATGCTTCGATACTTTCATTAAATAAAGTTATCAAATAATTTAATTTCTCACACATTTAACTCAAAGGGTCTTACATATACTTAACTGTGTTGTATCTAGTTTAATTGAAAAAGTGTCATGGTGAATAAATATATACTATAAAATAAAATAATAAATATATATATATAATGCTATAACCACGCATACAATACTTAAAACATCTACAAAGCATTGCTTTAACCTTAATTCAAACTTGTTGTAATCAATTACATAACTTACCTCCGATCAACATAGAGATAATGAAATGTTGGTGCATTGCTAAAATGTGTTTCGGGCTATACGTATTATATGTTAATAATTTAGTGAAGCTATGAATCTATAAAGTGATGTAGGTATTTTTACAAATTCTATAAACATTATTGATTTATGATATATTTGAAATGTTAAATGAATTTGTCAATTTTGTAGGTGTAGGTGTAATAACAATGTTTTAGGTGTTTGAAAAATTTATATCACTAGATAATGCACTCCAATAACGCCATTTTGATTAAAATACCTGTTGAAAAGGTGCAAATATTTTCATATCTTCCCCTTGTGCCGCTTTTCCTTTCTTCGTTTTTAAGTTAAAATGAAATAATATTTTTCGTTACAACAAAATACATTTAAAAAAACAATGTTTTAAAGGAAATATTTTGCGATGGTCCATTTAAAGCTATAAAAATGTTTATAGATGAATGAATTTCTTACAAACTAAACTATTAACTAATTTTTATTGTTGCTGGTATAAAATTAAGGCGCTTAAATAATATGAGTCAATGTAGAACGGTAAACTGAAATAACATATGACTCGGTAGCGCAATCGCTAACCTAAAGGCTTTATCGTGATTTTATTTTATAGGGGGTCGTCGGTTCGATGCCCATACGGGACTAGTCCTTATGTGAACCCCAGATAATTTTTCTTGATCGCGATGATTTGTATTCGGATTTTGTTTATTCCCAAGGAGGGTTGACGTCAGGCAGGTCGTAAAAAAACTAGCAAATACCATTAATAACATGAATCACATGTTGTGCCGACCCCGCTTAGGATAAGGGTAAAATATTATTTGTATAATAGTTTTATTGCAAATATTTTAAAATACCTTGTCCATATGAGCTAACAATCCTTCCTGGCTGCTTTGTCGTGTAGTTTCCCGAACCAACTCTTTTGCTTGCGCCGCGAATTGTTCTAAAAGCGATGTTTGCGATGCTTGACGGGAAACGCCACTGCCTGCGCTCTGAATGATGAATCGAATTAAAATATGTATAAATACTATGTTTTGTATTAATTTAAAAGGTCTTTGTTGTATTGAATGATATGAAAACAGAAAAAAGAAAAAAAAGAATATTTGCATCTTTTTTCTAATCTCATTTGTCTTGCAAGCTATGGTAGATCAGGAAAATGCAATAAGCTCAGTGTTCGGGCGCTCGCTTTTATTCATTATACTCCAGCGCCCTGAGTTCGAATCCCGGTGCAGTCACCAATGAAATTTTCAATTTAAACTGCTGACTTATCACACGTTCAAGTGCAGGAAAACATCGTGAGGAAACCTGAATATTTTTGCAATATTAACAAAAAAATCGAAGTTATGTGAAGTCCCCCATCCACAGTTAGGCATGGTGGACTATGCCCTAATACCCTCTGTATAAACAATGCACCAGTGGGATATATATAGGCTGTTACTTTTCTTTACTTCACGACGAAAAGACTTAATGTGGATTCCGCATTAACGTGATTGCGAATGGAGAAATACTGTAGCTTAACTGTACTTCTGTGAATGTTCTGTGTATGTCATGCCCAGCAGCGGGACACGTATAGGCTGACTGCTTTAACATTGTCTTAGGAAGTGGAGTGCATACAGATGTCCGATTAAAACATTGAACCGTACTTTGGGGTGCGTCGAGTAGTGGGAGGCGCGCTCAGAGTCGCTGGCGCTACCACTGTCCGCTGCGCGCTGGCGGCTGACCACCGTCTTCGGAGTCGTAGTCGAGTTAGAATCCGACTCGCGGCCGAAACTACCGCTGTCCGTGTCCTATCGAGCGAATGCAAAACAATATAATTAATCTGATAATTCTATAAAACTTGTAGAAAAAGAACGAAAAGATTGTCGCCGCTGTGGGAATCGAATCCACGTCTTCGGCATTCGCGGCCTGACGCTTTAGCCACTAAGCTAAACGGCTGATTGCCACACCGACGAAAATCTTGACGTCTTTTCTACTTTTTCTACAGTGTTACTGTTTTTTATCTTTTAATTAAAAATCGCCGGATCTATTCGCATGTTATATATTGTCCCAATATACAAAATATAAATAAATTTATATAGCTGAACTATGTGTAATGTCACTAGAGCGCTGTTAAATATTTTGAAATATCCCGACGGCCGTGAGCCGTGATAGCTCAGTGTCCAGGCGCTCGCCTTTAATTCAATATACTCGAGCAACGTGAGTTCGATCCCTGGTGCCGGCACCAATGAAGTTTTAACTTTAAGTGCTGACTTATCACGTGCTCCACGGTGAAGGAAAACATCATGAGGAAACCTGCATATTTTCGAAGTAATAACAAAACAAATATATTTCGAAGATATGTGAAGTCCGCCAATCCGCAGTGGGGCCGCGTGGTGGACTATGCCCTGATACCCTCTCTATAGAGGAGGCCTTTGCCCAGCAGTGGGACATGTATAGGCTGTTACTTTACTTTTTTACTTTTATCCCGACGGCCTCCATAAGAGAAAAAGATCGTTGTTTTGTTAAGTTAGTTTTACATATCAAAGCAACAACTACAGTTGTATGCTGTCACTGTGTAATGTTGTAAAAATTTAGAATAGAATACAATAGAATATACTTTATTGCACACAAGGAAGCACGAAGATACAAGATACATGAAACATAGTGTACATAGAGGCGGCCTTATTGCTAAGGTAGTTAAGTTTCTAAGTCACTAAAATCAAGAGATACAGCAACTCATATTGATATCTTATATTTAACTGAATACTTAAAAGTGTTTAAAAATAATTAACGGATTTAAAACTAAACGTGATCAAATCCATTGCTTAGTTTCGATTTTTAATCTATTTAAGCACTCACGCTTTTCTTTACAGGCGGTGGACGTGAATCAATCGTTTCCTGCTTCGCGTCAACTTGAACTTCGTCGTCCGATATTTCGCTGTGGTCGGAGCTGGACGCTGATGGTGAGGGAGACGTGGAGGCCCGACCTTCGCCTTTCTCCTCTTCCTCGTCTCCAAACATGAGCGAGGATGGCGGGCTATAAACCTAGCGTAAAGATAATGATAAAAACAAATAAATAAACAGATGATTTATTTCAAAAGTAGATGCAGATTTTTTATGTGAGATGGTAGTAAGGGTGGCCGCCTGATGTTATGTGATAACCGCCGCCGATAGGGTTGCAGATGCGTTGTTACCTTTTAATAAAGTGGGCCCCGGCTACCTCACTCACCAGACGAAAAGCAGAAGTATAATGCTTCTACTTCACACCGGTCTTCTATGAGGTCGTGGTATTGACCCGGACGGACCTGCTCATTGGTGCCACAGCGTAGACTGTTGCGTAGACCAAAGTTACATATCAAGTGTAGTATCTATCTATGAGTCTACTGATGATTTATGTCAAAAGAAGATGAATATCTACATGAAAGTGTTATCTACGAGCCTACGGTAAGCATACATTATTTTGGGGTTATGAGAGGAAATGCCAATAATATATGATTGAGGTATATGATTGAGTTTTTGTTACTTTAAAAGGTGCCATGAGCGAAATAGGTATGGAACCTACGACGTAACATCATAGAATATTTTTCTTGTTATGGGAATTGAATTCACACCTTCTGACGCTAGCGATAGGCACGACTATCCACTAAGTCAATTGGGTCATCATACACTAAACTACTTACCGTTTTGGGATCTAAAGAAGAAGACAATGTCATCGGTACTTGTACTACAGCATTATACGTCTCTCCTATTACATGCTGTTGATGTGGATTTCCACCTATAAATGAAATATTATGTTATATTGAAATATTATGTCATACAATAATTCTACAAAGATTGATGATACTTTATTTTTTATAAATATATATACAAATATATTTATATTATTTATGTCTTATAAAAATAAAAAATATATAATGTACCTGGCGATAAATCGGACGAAGCCATTTCTGACACGAAGTCACTAAGAGATGAATAGGAGGAACTCGTGCTTTCCGCGGCTTCGGAATCAGATCCACTTTCATCTGTCCAGGAAATTAACGATGAGTACACATGAAATTCTTAAAAGTAACACGATTTTAGTTTTCTTTTCCTGTTTAATTTACCAAATAAAAAGTAAAGTGATTAATAAATCAAAACGATAAATACAATATGATTTCGTATTTCAATTGGTGAGTGAGGTAGCTGGGAACTATTTTTTAAAGATATATCGCATCTAAAACCTCTATGGTATTCACTGAACATCAGACCTGCTAGCTTGACAACTTTTGACAGAAAAAAACAGTCTCCACTTAGATACGTCGCATAGTTTTTGCATAAATAAACTATAATTGCTATTGTTTTTTACATTTGTGATAATCTGTAAACACTTTCCCCACAATAAAAGGGAAACATAACATAACTTTTTATTCCACCTATCATCTAATCTACAAAATCTAATATATCTCAATAACGCTCTTAAATCTCCATTTAGCACCCTGGGCTCTCCTTCTATTATACATATAAATTTTAAGAATGTACACGGTGAATGTTTGTAAGGTTTATGTGAGAAGGTGGCAAACGGGCTATCGGTCCTGGCGTTAAGTGCCGCCCAAGGAGGTCTGCAACATTCATAGGGTTGCAAATGCGTTGCCACCTTTGAGTAACATGGGCCCCAGCTACCTCACTCACTAGACGAACGGTCTTTTGTGAGGTCGTGGTACTCCCAGCGCCGGATTAACCACATAGCAAGAGTAGCAATTGCTACTGGCCCCACACCAAAGGAGACGCATATTTAAACCCCCTCATCTCTGCCTGAGACATAATTCTTTGAGTGAAACTAATCAAATAAATATGAGTATTGAATTTTTCTTTGCTTTTGCTGTTTGAAAGAATTTGCTACGGGCCCCGCGCTCGCTTAATCCGGCACTGGATGCCCCAGACGGACCCGCCCATTCGATACAGTACAATGGTATTTATTACCAGTGGGCTGGTTCTCGTGGCGCTGAAGTTGCCTAAGGGCACCGTTAAGCGAGCTCCCATCGTCCCAGACGGCGAAGCGGATCGGCTGCAGCTGGTCCGCGAACCACTTGGGCTTGTCGCCGATCTGCCGAGGGTCGAACACGCCCGTCTGCACGCGAAGGAAGGCCACGTTGCACGGCGTCAGAGACCACTCCGCCAAGAACTCCACCGCCTAAGGAAAAGTATACACAGACAACAATGGCCAGCTTGCTACTTGTATCCACTTCGTTTGTGTATTCGAAGAGAACTTCTGAAATTAAATACGGTAGTTACTTTTATGGGATATAAAATACGCGCTAGAACTTTATGAATTATGTTTAACATTTTCAACAAACGTAACCTAAATGAGAGTTAAATACGTAATACTCGTAAAACTTCAATTTTTTATTTGTTATAATATCGTTATTAGTATTATATGAACAATGCTTTTCGTATTGTCTTTTCCCTTATATGTCAGTATTGTATATAACAGTAGTTATAATTACGCTGATAATAAAGACGTGTAGCGAGTACGCAAGTGGACTCGCACGTTGGCGACGGACTGGCGACCGTGTGGAGATTACAGGGCACTTAACGCACGCACTATTCCGGATAGATACCCAGTACGGAATATACAAGACTTCTCGCAACAGCTAGTAGGTAGCACCATATATTCTACGTGTGACCTAGTAAAGGCTTATAACCAAATACCGATTTTCGAGGAAGACAGGAAAAACTGCAATAACGACACCATTCGGACTGTACGAGTTCCCGTTCATCTCTTTCGGACTTCGCAACGCTGCGCAAACCTTCCAGCGTTTCATGGATGAGGTTCTCCGAGGACTAGATTTTTGCTATGTGTATCTGGACGACATATTAGTATTCAGCAAAGACAGTCTCCAACACCAGCAACATCTTAGGCAACTTTTTAAAAGACTAGCAGAATACGGAGTACTTATAAACACAAGCAAATGTGTATTTGGCAAGGCGGAAGTTGATTTCCTCGGGTACCGAGTTTCTGCAGCAGGCATTCAACCACTAAGATCTAAGGTACAAGCTATTCAAGACTTTCCAGTGCCAAAAACAGTAAAAGAACTGAGGAGATTTCTCGGAATGCTTAATTTTTATCACCGCTTTATTCCCTCAGTAGCTGCTACGCAGGCGCCGCTCAACGGTCTTTTAGCAGGTCCTAAAACGAGAGGATCGCAGCCCATCGAGCTATCGTCGGAGGTATTGAATGCATTTAACCAATGTAAGCAAAACCTTTCAGATGCAGCACTCCTTTCACACCCAGATCCGCGAGCACAGTATCCAGACTGACGCCTCAGACACAGCAATCGGTGCCGTCCTGCAACAACGTAAGGGTGAGGAATGGCAGCCACTGGCATTTTTCTCGAGGAAGTTAAGCCCTTCACAAAGAAAATACAGTCCTTAAGACCGAGAACTCCTAGCGATATATGAAGCCATCCGCTATTTCAGATACACGGTCGAAGCAAGAACATTTTGTATCTTTACCGATCATAAGCCGTTGACATTTGCATTCGCTTCACAACGCGAGAACTGTTCGTCTCGTCAGTTCAGATACCTTGACTATATCAGTCAGTTTACTACTGACATAAGATACATTGCTGGCAGGAATAATGTGGTCGCAGATGCTCTTTCACGCATTAATGAAATACAATTTCCCGTAGATTACCAGTCCCTAGCTCAAGAACAGGAAAGTGATATGGACCTGCAGGATCTACTGAAGAACGGCTCTTCTTTGAAGTTGCAGAAGGTTCAGGTCCCGGGTTCAAAAATTGAGGTATACTGCGATGTCACAGCACACCCATGGCCGTTTGTGACAAAATCTTTCCGCAAGCAGGTAGTTTAACACTCTTCATAACCTCAGTCACCCAGGCACGAAAGCTTCAGTTCGCTTGGTCACTGAGAGATTCGTTTGGCCAGGAGTTAGAAAAGACTGTAGACAATGGGCTAAGGAATGTCAGCAATGTCAGCGCTGTAAAGTACATAGGCACACTACAGCTCCAATGTCAAAATTTCAAACAACATCATCAAGGTTTAGTCATATACACATTGACTTAATTGGCCCTTTACCTTTATCTGCAGGTAACAGGTACTGCCTCACGATAGTCGACCGCTTCACACGTTCGAGGCGTACCCGCTACAGGACATCACAGCGGAAACCTGCGCCACCTTAACTTAACTTCGGGGTGCGCTACCTTAACTTCGGGGTGGATAGCACGATTTGGCTATCCAGCGCACATCACAACAGATCGTGGCCGGCAGTTTGAGTCGCATACTTTTAAAGAACTCGCGGCGCTAATCGGCGCGAAACACCACCTAACCACATCATACCATCCTGCAGCCAACGGCCTAGTGGACAGGTTGCATCGCCAACTCAAAGCCGCCATTACCTGCCACGTAAGCTCAAGTTGGACAGAAGCATTACCTTGGGTTCTTCTGGGCTAGTAGCTAGTTTACGGCGAGCCACTCCGTCTACCAGGCCAGTTTCTCTCCAACACAACTTCAGGAGACGGAGACATTACCACCATGATTGGTAGACTTCGCGCGCATATGAGTAAACTGACACCGCAACCAACTTCTTGGCATACTAGTTCTAGTAGACTATTTTATGTTCCAAAAGACCTGGAAAAATGCACTCATGTCTTCCTTCGTCAAGGTCCGGTACGAAGATCACTTCAAGCACCATACATCGGCCCTTACAAAGTTCTTCGCCGAGACAAGAAGACTTTCGATATAGACGTGCAAGGAAAAACACAGAGAGTCACAGTCGACCGCCTGAAACCGGCATTTTTAGCAAAAGATGATCTGCAAGACAAAAAAAATGCAACTCTCTTTAAGACAAGAAGCGGACGTACAGTCAGATTCCCAGACTACTATCGACCGTAGTTACGGTCTCGCCGGGGGAGTAGTGTAGCGAGTACGCAAGTGGACTCGCACGTTCAAACGCGCCCCCGGAATCGTATGATCAATGACGTACGGGTGGCGCGATGTGTGACGTACCGGCTGGACACTGCCCGCTGCTCACGCGTCGCATCATGGCCGACTTCTTTCTTTTGTTTAGACAGCGAGTGGGCGGAGCTTATGCTGCAAATCTTCTAACGGCCATCTTCAATTAACCCCCGCCGATGCATTATTACTATTAATTAATTTCGTGTATAAAAGACCATGTTGTTTATGTATAAGATACGTTATATTCGTTACGCTTATACTCAGGTGTCACAATTGTATTGTTACCGTAGTTTACTCCGGAATATACTCCTATATTCGCTTTCCAAGTGTTTCATTAGTAGCAGCCTTGTTTAGCCCATATGACTTAAGAGTGGCGTAGAATATTTCCATACAGCCGCTTCAGACGGATAAACTTTATAACCAAAGAAGCCCGGAAAAAACCTTGTAACATCATACTTACGCCCTAAGTTAACTTCGTACTTCATACTTACTTGGGTCCTTGCGAATTTGTTTAGAAAGGAGCTAGTTCTTGGCCTTGACCTCAGGAAGCTATTTATTTGGAATGCCACTACTGGCCGAGGGTACAGTCGTAAGGTTCTTGTGTGCTCCATAAAGTTGGCTAATACATTTTGGGAGTTGAAAAACCGAACCTGGAAAGATAGGAACATTTAAATTAGATTTAATTTCAATAATTGGTCTTTACTTTAAAAAAAATGCTTGAGTTTGGAATTCTCCTTGTTATTGTATTTTAACCGATTTATACAACTTTCCCGTTAAATCTTTAGGATAAACTAAACCTTTTGCTAAACAGTGTAAGAGATCTCCCATCTTCACTTAATCGAAAGCGTAAAATGTGTTTCTAATTTCTGCGGTGAAAAAACAGCGTGATGGATGCTGTCGTAGTGTAACTAACGTATTTTTTATGTAAAAATTTGGCAAGCAAGAAAACTCTTCACCTGATATTAAGTGAAAGGAAAGATCTATTACAAATCTTTAAGTATGCTGGTACCGTTTAGCATTATTTATACGAATAATATAATATAATCAACACGAGTACCAATGCTGACTAATGCCCGGTTGCTATATTCAACGAACGGACGTTCATTATATAGCTTCGTAACTTTCGTAACGACTTGTAGATAAAATGCATGTACGCCCGGAAATATTAACCAAACTATAGGAAATATTAACAAAACTAGCCGTTTGTGGAATATAGGAACCGGGCATTAGTCATTATTATTCTTACAATTGTTTCGTATTCTTGTTGTTGCATACCGTAGCTACGCCACATTAGGAAAAGGACGTGCTACGTACCATTGCTACGCGCGTAGCAATGTCGACCGAGTCTACGTCGTTGCCGTATATGAGCGGGTTGAAGGGTTGCTGCGGCGAGTGCGGCGAGGCCAGCGAGTGGCGCTGCGGTGTGTGGCCGGCGCTTCCTACAGAAACTCGCCTACTCTCCGGAGTGCTGTGCGTAGCGCTCTGCGGCGCGCTGTGGGACCCACTGTCCCGGTACATCGGCTGCTGCACCCTGCAAGCGCTCATACGTTACGCCATCATTTTTCATCGCAAACGTGCTTATGCCTTCTAAGCGCTCTATGTCAGTTTTTTTGTGACAATCAATAAGTAAGTGTAATGCTTCTGTATTGGGTAAGGATATTTGAATGTGAGTTTGAAACCTCGAATTGAATTTCTGATGTTGTTATCACCAAGGAATGAAAAAACAATGGTGTTAAGGATATCCCCAGCATACCATTCATCGTGAGTTGTGCGATGAAAATTTACTCACTACTTATATCTGGCTCCTATTTATATTCGTATTTATTATATGACTTAGTTTCAACTCTTATAATTAATAAACGGTTATAAATTTTAATTCAGTTAATAAATCTTACTTCAGAGTAGCTCCACCAACGCTGTCCCGTCTAGAAGGCATTAAAGGTGCCGTTGCTTGTTCCATTGAGCTATTTGTTAGACTGTTTAGAGCCTGTGAAGAGTAAAAAAAATGCTTAAGGTTAATAATGACTCTAAAGTTATTTATAAAAACTAAATAGTATCTACAGTATGGAAAATCATTTATTTACATTGTTAATTTTTAAAATGCATCATAATTATTTGTACGTTAGTTATATTATATTAACGTTACTTTCAGTAAAGTTTAACTAAGACAATTAATTACATATTTTAATATCATTAATCTAGTAGTTTGAATTCTACTTTGCTACTATAATCACAAGCAGTAAAATGATCTAATACGGCGGTTATATAAAAATATTAGAAATAATGAGAAGCGATTCAATGTAGCTTATGGCATTCCATTTTAGGCTCAAACCTCCAAATCAAACTTCAATTTCAACTTAGGAATATATATATATATATATATATATATATATATATAAATATATATATGTGCTATTATCATCCACAAAGTTTTCTAAGCTTATTAGATATATGCTTTAAATAAAACCCCAGTCGTGGAAGGGGTGGCTTCGATAGGCAAGCTTTAATAACCATTTTCTCTTATAGGTTTCCTTTAGCAAAAATAAATGTGACTGAAATAGTGTCATAATGTTTATCACAATGCAATACTGATTACAAATCTGAATCGGAATGTGTTATGTTTTGTTTTACACACATTTCAGTCGGCGATTATTTTATATGCTATATGCTATAGATCATGTGTTAATAAAAATGGCATGTGTGTTTTTGTATTTCCATTAAATGTCTTCCTTACCGACATCTCTAAAAGGATGGCACATTACATGTTTCAATTTAGCATACACTGTAAAACTGTGATAAAAAACAAACAAAGTGTGCAATTAAAATAATAGGAATGATATTTACACCAGTTCCAGTAATTTCCATGAGATGCACGGCCTATTGCGAGAGGAGAAGTGAGCTAGACTTTAGTAGATTCAGGAAATAGGAGATTAAATATAAACTGCAAGAAATACTATTTTAAAATGAGCAACAAATCAACGTAATAATATAAATTAAATTAATATAATGATTTCGATTTAATCATGTTGTTTCATTTTAAAATCAGTAGTGTTTAGTGTTTAATTAAAAGGATCAAATTGTGAACTGTAATAATATAATTGAATGTTAAGATAAAAAGGTTTAAACAATGCTTGTTGGTTTTATTCGTTTTTATTTTATTATTAACTAATTATTCGAATTTTTATACAAAGTATCTATAAAAAGTCGAATAATTAATTATTAATGCTGCGTTGTAAAAATAGTAGAGTTGTATTTTATTTAACTAGTGTGAATGCATTGAAAAGTTATAACAGCACAGCGACACCAATAATGCGCTAACAAGGGCGTGAGATAGAATGGATTAATTGTGATATATGAAAAGAAGAAATAAAACTGATTCACAGTCTGTACTTAGACGGTGTCTTTGAATTACCTGTTTCAAATGGCTCTTTAGAACTGAACTCTCTGGTTCGGGCAGCGCCGGGAGGTCTTGGTCGGTACCAGTGGGGCATATCAGTTTTGTTGCGTCCAAATCTACTAGCCAAATGTCGTCGGGTAAGCTAAAATGAAAAATAGATTTTTACGCCTTTTAACATTTCGGAGTTATAAAAAACACATTATAAAAAACAAAGCTATAAATACTACATTTCATGGTTGTTAGGTTAACTTAAATAAATAAATCTTTCTAGGGACATTTTAACACACCGTTATCTAGTCCCAAACTAAATAAAGCTTGAGCTATGGATGACTATGTAGATAATAAACATACCTAAATATACTTTTCTTAGATTTTAAAATATAATTAGCACGTTCTGCATAGATTGAGACAAAAATTAATACATTTCTTTTCTAAATAAATACATATTATAAATATATAAACATCCAGACACTAGAAAAACGCAAAGATCATCAAACAATACTAGTCCAGAAGTGGTGATCGAACCCACATCCTATGGCGCAAGATCACTATCCACTAAATCAACACGGTCTTAACTTGAAAATAGGTTTTATTTATTTATTCTTTTTGCAGAAAAACATGTATACAACACGGTAACTTACCGGAAATTCTTCTTGTAAGTAAAGAAAGTAGCCGGGATCCCGATTAAAAATGGCGTCGGCGCTAAGAGCAGCTGTTCCGCGCAGCTCATGCAGCTCGGAAGCAGTGGAATGGCGGGAAACATGTACTCGAGGGGATACAGCATGGCGACCAGCGCCATCACCGACATCGATAGGGCGTTGTAGTCGCGAGACTGCACTACCACCTTATTCTCCATTAGAATCAACGTGAGCACTTTCAGGCACGTGTCCACACCTTTAAATAATAATATAGCACTAAATATGAAGGTAAAACAACTATCTATACTCATTAACAAAAGCATCGTCAGAATAGTAGACAGTTAATGAACTACACGCCATACGACATTCTTAAATTTTATTCTATATTACGAGTATAAAATAACGTGTATTTATTTTACTATTATCTTATATTCGTTCTTACTGCATCATTGTTACCACATTAATTATATGCAGTGCACCACATAAAATGGCCAGAAGTGTAGTATTTTATTTAAGGCAAAATTATAAAAAGCCTTCACGTTTTCCGAGTCCAATTGTAAAAAATCTAACTACGATGTACCGTGCTTATTTAGTGCCAAACCTGAACAAACTGAACGCTTGACAGAAATTAAGGAGGTAAATATTGCACGTAACAAACACAAGACGCGGAAAACTCATTGCACACCACTAGCATTGAGCCCGCCTTGATGCAGCCACTGGCATAGATATTACAATTAGTGGCCGGTCTTGAAACCAAATGGCATTGGGTTTTCCGACGACGTCTCAAGCCCGTGCACCCACCAAGTAGTTCCAATGGAAGGTGCAGCGGGAAGTCCACCAGCGTGAACCGCGTGTGGTCCGGCAGGGCGAAGAGCAGCGGCGCGTGGGCGGTCGGCGAGAGCACCTCCAGCTCCAGCCTGGTCTTGCCCGGCACCGGCACCGGCGCGGAGAGCAGACGCAGGATCCAGGTCTCTATCTCCTTGACGTCGTGCAGAACTATCGTCGGCGTGTTGTCGTACGCCTGGCCCGTCAGGACCGACCACACTGTATCCCTGAACCAAGATATAGCAATGATATATATATATATATATATATATTCGGAATCTCGGAAACGGCTCCAGCGATGTTCATGAAATGTAGTATAATAAAAATGTTATAATAGCTCGGTCGGTTATCGGGCGGCCAAGAAACATGATTATTTTTATTTTAGTGTTGGTCTGCAATCAAAAGGAATTGATTTATGAATATTTGATAGAAACATCGTCGAAAATGTGTAGTCTTCGAATGGACTCGAATCTGCGTTTTCTGTGTAACAGGTCCAGACGCTCTAACAAAGTGAGCTAAGCGCCCGATATCCTTATGACGCCAAAAAAAAAATCCTTTACTAAATTAACATACTGTTTTTTTGAATTTTCTTGAAGTATATTACTTAGCATCGTTCTACTATGAGATGCTTCGATCTGTTTAATGATTCATGCAATGCACAATGTCAATTTATGTAGGTACTAACATAAAGAAGTTTTCTTTTCTTAATTATGATTTTCACACGTCATTTTATATGCATTTTGTATTGAAAAAATAATAGAAAACGTGATACCACCTAACCACCAAATTTTTAGTGAATATATTATCAACCTGTAAATAGCATTAATCATTTAAATAATGTAAAATGTGAATGTTAATTTTACTTAATCAAATATTAAATATGCAGAGACAATATTTAAATTTTTTCTGTTAATATTAATATTTATAAATATCTTAGACAATTTCATTAAGAAAATAAATATATCTTACCTATATATTTGCCTAGACGCGCCAACACGTCGCGGACTGGAAGACTCATTGCAGGCATCTATCAGCTTTTTAAGGATAAATAGGCACTCTCGGAACGTGGAGAAGAAAGGATGATGTGATAAAAGGCATAAGGATGTGAGTGAGTGATTCCGTATTCGCTGCAACAAAAAGAAAAGTTCATAGTTTTATTGAAAATCTTGTAGAATAAATCACCGATCTCTTGTAATAAACAACATTTATGTTAGCATTGTACACGTGTAACCTCGTATCCATCAAACCCATATAATATTTGACTATCGAAAGCTCTTACTTTATTATTTAGCGATTATTTTAATATTATATGTACCACGATGATTTTATTATGTTGGAAACCTGATAGGTGAAGTGTATACTGAACTGGTATTTTACGCCCCCCCCTGTTACGAACCATTAATGGAAGAACATCGTGTGAAGAAAATTGTGTTTTTCTAGTGTCTATATATGTTATGTCTTAATAAAAATGTTTAAATATATTTATCAGTTGCTTAATACCCAAACCTAACCAAGAAGATCAAACTTTGCACAATTGGTGTTGTGTAAATGTATGTTCCCAAATATTTATTTAATAGAAAGACGTCAAACAAATTTACGGTAGTGTCTCATTAAGCTGTCGCTATGAAAAGAATTTACTATTGTGCTTAGCGACCTGTCGCTTTCTACTGGCACGGGGACTGGGCGAATGGGAACCCCCGCTTTCGGAGTCAGGCGCGGCCGGGAGACGCGGCGCTAGTGTCGCGCTGCAGTCACGTTCCGAGTCACTCGGGGCAACATTGCTGCTCCTATAGTCACTGGAACATTCGCTACGTTTTAGTCCAAGCTGAGATCTTATTTTATATTTACCTTGACGACCAGTGGGAAAAAATTAAATTTCACCGTTTAATTATTTTTTTCGCTTTGCTATCCTTACTAATATTATAAAGGCGATTTGTATGTATGGATGGATGTTTGTTACTTTTTCACGCAAATACTACTGAATGGATTTTAATGAAACTTCACAATGATTTAGCTCATACATCAGAATAAGACATAGGCTATAATTTATATTCATATTTTAAGTATATCTGTCTTCCTGTCTGAATGTTACGCCTTCAGTCAATTCTACGTAGACGTAGTCGTGGGCAGCAGCTAGTTCAGAATAATTTTCTAGTATCTTATAATGCCATTAATTGCCCTTCCTATATTTCACCGTATCCGGTAGGCGCTGCTATATCTTTTACCTATATAGTGTAATTGACTATTATTAACCACAGTCTCGTCCATACAAATACAAAAATAAGGTCTGGAAATACTTCTATCCGAACTATATTCTTGTTTCGAAATAACACGTTCATTAAAAATATCATATTTACAAAAAAATATTTTCAAAGAGACAACGAATAATACATTTTTACTGTATTAGGTAACATATATCACATATACGGCTTCTTTACAAACCGTAAGGCGCACCTAATGTGTCTTTACCCGACAAGTTGTCACACTTATCATAAATAACAAGTAAAGATAGCCTTCTTAATTTTTCAATATATTTTGAACCTTACGCTTTTAATCTCGATTGTCAGACTTGTTACTCATCTTCAGGATCGAAGAAATTTTCTTTGGATCCATCATTTCATGTCACTTTCACTTGCAATACGCTTCCAAAAATTAATGGTTAAACGATAAAACTTTTGAATCAGTTAAGAAAAAATATGATAAAAATCAATTATAATACTGCTTCGCAGGCTTTTAATATTTTTAAACCACTGCCGAAAATAGAAAGGAAATTAGCTACAACTGGGCGTCGTTTAATTTTATCAAATGTTAGTACAAGATACTATTCAACCAACTATACCATATAATGATATTAATCTTCAGTTTCACTTGACCCAACCTTTATTAAAGTTTATTTTTTTTTACATCCTGAAGCAATAGTTAAGTTACATGTTTAAAATTAGCTCGTGTTTGTTCTTAAGATGCAACTTAAAAATTTGTAACTATCGCAAAACTATTCGCAGCTGCCAGTAAGCGATAAAAAATTAGAATCAATAGCAAAGGCGAATCTCTACTTTTCAAATATTCATTGTAAAAATGAAATTTGAGACAGTGTAATTGCTGTAAACGAATCACATTAGGTAACGCCAAGCACTGCTACAAATGCAATAAAAAAGTGGATAGGGATTCGATTAACGCAGGGTGAGGATGTCGACCAGTTAGTTTAGTGGCTAGAGCATCTGGAAGCGTGATCCGGTAGGAGCAGCTTCGAAACCTGGTATCGGCGAAAAATTTTGCGACAGTTCTATATACACGTTTTTAAATAATTAAGTTCCCGGAGAAGCTGCAATGGAGAATGGAGAATGGAGAATTCACCTGGAGAAGGCGGAATCGGAGCTCTTCTCCATAGACTTGCGCCATGACTCGCGGCGTAGCACGATGCGCTCACGTGGCCCTGGGGCCGGTGCCCGCTCCACAGTTCGGTAGAAGTTCACGCAAACACCGTACCGGGTCTTCCCTGGCCATGTATAAATAGAAAATCAACTTATGACCATCGTTCACGCGGATTTCCAAACGGAATTTGCGTTTAAGCTTTCCTGATAATTGTACCTTCTAGCGTCAATGCACTACAGCAATAGATACGTGAAGTGTAGTGAATCTGTACAACACTCAAAAGTAGATAATATGGTTCCTAACATCTTACGAAATGATATTCATAATTATACAAGATTGAGACTTTAAATTAGGCATGGAATTTTTTAAGCAAAAATCATGGAAATTTAAAAGCTTCTATTCTTATTGAATACGAACCTCTTTTATCTCACAAATTTCACGTCTTTTATTTATCTCATATATTATATTATGTAGATAAACGAACATTTATGTAATGGACACACAAAATAAAACTACAGTCCGTGCCGCCTATGGAGTACGGCTTTGAATAAAACTTATTGGCAATTTGAAGTAGAATTTTGAGAATGGGCATCCAGTTCACAACTGAACTTGGAACATAATATAAAAAATGAACAATCGTAGTTAGCGAATAGCTGGCATTTCGTGGAAGAATACTGTTGATTAGTTATTTTTTTTCCATTATTTTAAATATATTAGATTGACGTATCTCTAGTAAAACTCCATATTATATAAAATTAATACGGATGCCAAGCGCATTTTAACGTGATAAAATTGATACAACAATTTTATTATGCGTGTGTAACTAAAATAACTCATAATAGGGAATCCCTATGCAGAATAATAACCTCTGCTTCTATAAGCAGAATAATAACATCTCAACTGTATCAACATATCTGTATATGTGTTATCATTCAGCCTGCGTTAAAGTTAAGTCGATTATCCCCATCGTAAAATAGGATTATCCTTTGTGAAGCGTTTTATATGCGTAAATTGCTAAGACTACTCGATCCGGCACAAATATTAATAGATTAAACGTTATGATTATTGTAAAATAAATAATTGTTCCCGGAAAAATAACTCACACAAAATCGCTCACAAAAATGTTTATACGAAAAGAAATACCATTCGACAAGTCGAAAAAGCTCTATGATGAAAACAAAACCATTAGCTAGCTTTAATGTTAGTTCTTCTTTTTTGCTATATATTTGTTAGAGAACTTTAGATAACTTTACGATTGTTTCCTTATCTGTTGGAATTTTATAACGAACTTTTATTGCGTACCTGAGTCTTTATCGGTGAGCGTGAAGACGAAAGACGTAGTATCTCTGGTGGCGACATGCGCTATCTGGCGCCGCGCTCCAACCGACACGCAGCCCTCGGGCTGGCAGAAATACACCATGTCCAAGGGTAATGGGAAGTCGTCATGGTTGGTCAGGGGGTACCGCCTGAGCAGCTCCGGGGCCTGAGGAATTATGCGAACAAGCAAACATAAACTACACAGTACATACTAAAACTTTCGAAGTATACTCACAATTAGCGCTCGCAAAATAGTAGTAGTTACTTAAGGTAGAGTTGCGCAAACGGAAAATTTTTATTGTTACCTCATATTTTATAATAAAATAGGTAAAATATAAGGTAAAATCCGCAAAAAAATATGTATAAACAATTTCAAACAATTTGTAAAAGCTACCCTAATGGCAAGGCGCTATTATAATGTCCAAGAATGCATTGAGGACAAGGATGTGTGGAAATGACTCTTGCTCTGCACTTGCAAGACCCCTGGCCGCTGCTGATTTATACTATAATAAGTTTGTATAATTTCATCATAAGAAAATAATATCAAAAAAGAGAACAAGACCGCAAAGTTTCTTGCTGGTCCTTCTCTGTTCAGGACTTAACTAGTCCTGAACAGAGAAGAACCAGCAAGACGGCGATAGTTTTCTTTGTCGTTCAATAAAAGCTTAAGTTAAGTCTATATTGAATTAAGATATTTTGACTTGACTTTGATATTTAATTCATAGAAAGCTATAATATTTGTAAAAACTACATATTTATGGAAAGAACGTTACGTAAAAACATTTCTATAATGCAAATTAATTTACCTGCACGGGGGCCAGCCCCTTGCCAGATGTGTAAGGCCTTGCGCCCACTATAGTTAAATAATCCACCAGCCGCGGACACAGCTGCTGCTTTTGAACGTCCATACTCTTGATATGCTCTGCTTTATATACTCTATATCACTCAATATGAGCTTGTTTAAACCCATTATAATTTAATTTATTATTGCTTGTCATAATTATCACGTTTAAATTACACCTGTAAAGAAATAAAAACACTGACGTGAAGAGATAGGAGCTAAAACGTAAAGTGTAATTAAACATCCCTTAATATGTGAATAATATGAATATGAATACTAATATAAATACCCTTAATATGAATACTTATTTCATAAATCGTACAAAAATTAACCGAATCAATTGATCGTATAATTAAAACGGAAAATACACCAAAGCATCTTAGATGTATTCTTTATTCAATTATCCCTTCTTAATGAAAAAGCGGTACTATTATCCAAGAAATAATTGGAACATAATAATAACCACGGAATATAATAAATTTCAGGTTTAATGCTATAAGAATTCTCCAGGGTCCTTGACCTATTTAGCCTTGACCCAATTAGAGCGACACTAGCCTTCCGGCGTTAGGGCCACTAGTTGGCGCACCATAACATTTATTGACCATAAAACTACGCATAAAACAGGGACATGTTTCACATAAAACTGAAAGAGCTCCTGTAAAACGTTCCCACTTAAATTGCTTTGCGATGAAGATAGTTTTTATGATCACCCGCTTTAATAATGAAATTTATTGCTTATTTTATTACAAACCGTCGAGTTATGGTTACATACGACAGAGAAACCATTCACCATTATATTTTCGTCATCCTTCAATGATTTTAACATCTCCGATAAGAATAAGATTCAATTAATTTATTATATTCTACAGGCTGAAGCTTCTGCACAGTATCTTTTACGCTATTTGAAAACCATAGTAATCAAATTTATTAGTAAATTTAAGTAAAAAAATAACTTGCCAGAATTGTTTGATCGTTCACGAACTTCTCAAATTTACTACATAATACTTAAACTATTTTATTAAATGTTTATTGGAGACAAGAGCAGAGGCTTCATCCACAACACGTTTATGCATTGCCATCCTTTAAAAAATTGTGCCCGGGTCACCTCACTAACAACCAATTCACGTCGGTCTATTGTGAAACCGTAGTTCTTCTTCAAACAAGCCACCCCATTCGTGCTTCATAAGAAGTTGCTACGTGGCCCATAAAATAACAACCTTAACCTTTTAGCTATAATAAACAAAATAATTACAATAACTTTTTTTTTGTTTACGAGCCCAAAGTGAAATTTTAAAATAAATAGAATTTTAAAAATAAGTGCTTAAAGAATCTTTACTTAAATGTGTACAATGAATAATTGAACATAGAAATAATTTTAATTTCCGGTTTAATATTTTAATATGTTTTTTGATATATTTTTGTTTTAAAAAAAATTGCCCTCACTTTAGGATAACATTATCCTGTGTTGCAAGGACGTTATACAAACATAAATTTCACGCGGACAAACGCCCAAATGCGAAACAACTATCTGTGGGTCACAAAAATGGATTTCTTATATCTCTTTATAGTTTGAATTTGCATTTTATACGGAGTAATGTCTCCACGAACGAAGCATTGCATTGCAATTGACATTCAAAGTATCCTTGAATATCATTAACTACGGACGTCATGTTTGCGTTATCTTATAACGTCACAAGCGTGGGTGGATAAATTTTGCATTATAAATTGAAATAAATATTTCAGCGTAAAGTCTAAAAATAACACTCGTGGACAGACCATTTGACATGTATCGCCTTTGAAATACGATTTTCAAATATATTTTGTAATATATGAATATATGCTAACAACAACATTATAATACTCGGAGCATTATCTTTGCTAATTAAATTTGACGGCGTACGAATAATAAATGCAGAGTTTTCTTTTAAATTCGCGGCATGATTGGCGGTTAAAGAAAGCGTTGTGAGAAAATATGACAACATATCATAATCATCATAAATATCCCGACCGCTTGGAAAAAGTCTTTCATAATTACCCTTCAAAATCTCTCAACTATATCTCAGTTCCGCCCTATTTCTATTCTTCCTATGCTGTCCATAGTCTTAGAGAGAATAGTACAAAAGCTACTTTCTTATTTCCTATTTTCTTAAAGCCTGTTAAGCCCCTTTAAATCGTCCTGGCCACAGCACAGTCAGTGCATTGGTTAAAGTGTCTGATGATATACGCTAGGTTATGGAAAATAAATGTCTCACAGTTTTAACTCTATTGGACTTCAGTAGTGCATTTAATTCTGTGGATCATGATGTGCTATTGGGAATTCCTTCATCTTTAGGTGTCTCTGACTCAGTAATCTCTTGGTTTAATTCTTACCTTAGTGGGCGTTCGCAGTGTGTTCGTCATGATAATAATTTTTCGGAATGGTGTGATATCACTGTTGGTATCCCTCGGGGAAGCATTATTTCTCCACTTCTCTTCTCCATTTTTATTAATACTCTAACCACGCTCTCACTTCTCACTTTCATCTTTACGCTGACGACTTACAGCTCTACATCCTCGATTTTGAATAGCCGATATAGCATTTCAAAGTTGAGGATACAGAAGAAGCTATTACAATGCTAAATGCTGATTTGAATAGTATTAGTAATTGGGCAAAGTCTTTCGGTCTTCTTGTTAATCCCACTCGCAAGTCTTAATTATCGGTTCATATTCCCCGAAATTAGTAGAATTCCAAGTTTCCTGCTAAGGTTTATGACAATGTGCAGATTCCTTTTTCAGGCTCTGCTAAAAACCTGGGAGCTTTTTTTGATACTCATGTATGGGTCGTGGGTGTCTCACATTTATATCATAAGTAAAACGATAAAGTATTATTTTCAACCGCTCAAACGTTTTGAGTTCTTTTTGCCTTTGAAAACAAAGATTACTTTAGCTAACATTTCTCCTTCCTATAATTGATTACGAACTACGGAGGTACTATTGAATAAGTTGGAACGCCTTCAGAACTTGTGCATACGATTCTTCTTTGGACTCCGTAAATTTGATCATGATTTTGAGTTCAGGGTGCAATTAAAATGACTTTCGTAAACGTCGAAATCTTCATATCTTTTCTTTACTTTACTTTTTACTGTTTAATCCTCCTCCATATTTTCGGGAACTCTTTGAGTTTCTCGTTCCACGCGGAACTCAATGCCGACATAATAAATCACTTCTTCTCAAAATTCTTTGCCATTCATCTTGTCGGTATAGCGAATCTTTCACTATGAAAGCGGTTGAGCTATGGAACTCGCTACCCCACTACATACGGTCCAGCTCATCGCTTGAAATTTTCCGTATTAGGGTAACATTCAGACAGAAAAACAGATATACATAAAATATGTATATAAATTATGCCCTATGTCTTATTCTGATCTATAAGCTATATTATTGTAAAGTTTCATTAAAATTCATTCTGTAGTATTTGCGTGAAAGAGTAACATACATCCATCCATACATACAAACTTTCGCGTTTATAATATTAGTAAGGATAGAGTATAATTATATCTAGTTTGACAAATCTACCTATCATAATATCAAATTTGTTTCTCATCAATCTTATGTCAGGGTTTCCTGGAAGTAAACTCTTTTTAGGGTTAAGCTCGCCTTTGTACATTTTTTGTAACTTTGTTTCACTTATACTCTGTGTACAATAAAAAATAAAGAAAACTTCGGAGCATATTAGGAAGAATACCTCGAAGCTATCATACATATATAGCGAATGTGTAAAATTAATTGTAATAATCTATTTCTGTTTTAATAGTTCTAGTTGTTGCTTGCGGCATCACTAGCGTGGATTTTCATCTGGAGTGGTATTACTGGAATCGAACATTTTTCCGAGATAAGCTAGGAGCTGAGTGGTTACTCAAGATTGATTCGCTGCAGAGTTCTTCGATCCACAAAGCCCTATGCAGTACCTATCCTTTGCTATATTACTGCTAGGTAAAAGAAAAACTAACATTTTCTTTTCGGCTCAATAATGCTAGCACGGATTACGCTAAATTGGGTATGGTTTTATTGAATAAAGTTACATTAATACATTGAGAAAAAATTCTTTGATGAGAATTTATCAAGCATTCTGATTTTCAGACATAACTATTATCAATGGTCTTCATGGTAGGGTTATTTTTTAAACTCTCTTTCGTAATTTTACTTCCAGTGAAACTCGTAACTTCATATGAAAATGTTATAAACTTGTGTTTCTGGCGTTTTAATAAAAGAGATGAAAAAATTGTTAATAAAAGAATTTACTGTTGAAATCGATCATCATAAAAACATCTATAACAGATGAGATAAGTCAGCAACAAAATTAAATTAGGATCGAATCGAACAAAGGTCTGCTCAAGTTCATATTAATCGTAAATGTACAGAAGATCCATTTGTCTAAGTACTGCATGGTTGTAATCACATTACAGAAGAAAAAATTCAGTAAAAAGATCTCATTCATATTTATATTTATATGAAGAACCCATAGATATTAATTTTTTTCTATCGTTAATTCTAAAGAGCAATAAAAATTACAGATATCATAAATGATTATGATATACAACGCAGAAAAATCGAAATGCTTTGTGAAAAGAAAAGTAATCTACAACGTCCACCTAAGCAAGAAAGGTATGACATTAAAGCTATGATACAAAATCCTTAGAAAGAGATATATAGCGGAATGAATGTTATGTGCAAGTGATTATTAAGAAAAAAATATCGCTGTAATATTCCTAAAACAGAGAGCGAACAACGCTACTATATATCTTAATAAATAAGAATGAATGTTGGTAGGAATTCATAAGTCAAGAATGGCTGGAACAATTCGGCTAATTTAGCAGCTAGTTATATTATATAAGCATCTTGACTTATGAACGGACTGCCTACGCCCACGCATAACAATAAATTACATTAATTCCCGCGAAAGAAGAGAACCCTAATCAAGCGGAATCCTAAAGCAATATTTTATCAGACCACCCGTCGTTATACCTACAGCATAAATTGATATAAGAGTAATGATGCTCCGGTCTGGTATTTTATATATTGTGCTGTCGCGTTATAGAATGGAGCCGGACATGTCGGAAATAGGTGCTGATCAACGTCATGCCATTTTCTCCGAAATAAATAGTACAGAAAATGATCTTTGCAAACAGGTATCTCCATATTTAGAACAGGATCCCATACCAATGATTTATTTAAGATTTAGTTTACATTAATAAAAAAAAAGTTTTTTTTATATTTGCATCAACAATGTATATATTGTATAATTTATTATACCTACTAAACCCAAAAAAAGATGCAAGATTCACTCGGTAATTAAAGTTTATATATAGGTAATAATCTTAATTTACAGCATATGTAATGTTCATTAATATTGGTGACAAGCAGCAATTAATATAAGATGTATTAATTGCCAAGTCCCTTCACATAACATCTTTGAAAAATTAATTAATATAACATTAAAGTAATTGTTAAGTTTAAATTAAATTATAATAATAAAACATACGAATTTATGCCTACTGTTATCTTTTAATATACCTATGGATTAAAGTATAAAAATATTTGCTGAAAAACTTTGCGCACGTATAGTTGTTATACGTAAATCCGAGATTAAGTGGAATGTTAAGGTAAAAGCTGACGAAATGTCAAAGGATTTGAGCCGTCTATTTCTTGGAAGCTCCGTCATATTGCTTGTTTTAAAGAACATGTTTTAAATTTATTTGAAATATTGAATAAATTATTTGATGCTAGGCCGTTTTGCTTTTACATTTCATTATGTAGATACTGATACATAACAAAATCTTTAAGAAAATTATGTATTTCGTTATTTAAATTAATTAGTCTTAAAGTAATAATCCATTTATTTCTTTTTTGTTTTGTAATGTAGTTTAAAAATACCTGAATATATAATATTTAGTTTTAAAACAGTTGAATATGCTTTTCGATGCCAAAACGTATTAAAAGTTGAGACATATAGGTATAGTTAGGTAATGTTTTTTTGGATAAGGTAATAAAATGACAAAACTACCTTTTTAAATACCTAATTTCAAATAATGACGAAAGTCTGTTTAATCAACTGTTTTTTTATGACTGTGACTTGAATTTTTGGCCTCCAGTATTTAAAAAGTAGAGGAATCTGTTCACAAAGCGAAATATTTGCCAAACTTAACGGTTATTAAAGTAATCGATTATTTTTATATAGGGATTCTTATTAGGTTTAGATTTTTCTTCATCAAGTATTTATTTTAATATTTTTATTTATACATTTAGAAACGGACTGCTAAACGTTCTACCGCCGCCATGATATGGAAATTGCGTTCCACTTAACTAATCGCGAAAACACCACAGCGGTGTAGTCCCTGTCGTTTCGTTATCGAAGCGAAAGGGACTACGAGATACATGAGATAAGACAATAAAACAGAGTTTGGTTATTATAAGTTTTTTAGTTTTAAGTATAGTATTGTTTCTAGTCTGTTTTTTTAAATGTTCATCATTTATTGAATTCAGTAAAGCAGAAAATTCATTCTGGGTGAGGTACGAACAGCATATTTAATTAGTTTAAAAACAAATTGTAATATATTCCAATATGAAAACAATATATGTAGTAGTATAGTGGGTATTGTTAAAAATGGAAACGGATTTCCATAATATTGCGTGTAAGTAATCTGAAAAATGTTATTGCTATTAGGCCTATGCAAATAAGCCTGTAAAAATTCTAACTATTAACACTTTTTTGTATAGGAAACTGGCCAGTGCGGGACTTTCATCCCATGGTAAGTGGCGATGCAGCGTTGATAGTATGCGAGCTAGCTCAGTAAAAGCCTATTCACTTTTGCCTTGAAGACGCCTATGTTATAATCGGGCGGATAGATGGAAAGACACTTCTACTTGCTCATCTTTAGACTAATCGAGGAAGAGTCGAGTGTTTCCATAAGTCCGAAATTCCTGTAAGTCTTAGCTACGGCATCCAGGATACAAGTTTCTGATGCTTATTGTAGGATAGCTTGTGTCTCTCCAGTTAACAACTACCATAATGGGACGATAATATGACTCAAAGCTGCTATAGGTACTTCAAAATTGCTACATTTCCAATTGCTTCATTTATATCGTTTAAGGGTATTCATGAGATATTGTCTGAAATATCTTTTATCACTTTACAATAAACCGAAATCAGTTTTACGCAAGTTCGGTCAACGTTGAATAGATGGCCTTAAAAGCAATGTCGGTCAAGGTAAAAGTCGGTTTTAAAAAAAAAGCTGAAAAGTCTATAGCTGAAAGCTGAAGGTTAGTGAAACTCTTCAGATCGTGGTGTGCCACGTTACCCTCGGAGTTCTTATATAAGTTCATTGATTATATTCATGTATATTCATAATTTACCCAATAACTACAAAAAATAATACAGCTATAACAAACAAAAAAAATATATATAAGTAGCAAATTGGGTAATTAAATAATAAACAAAACAGAGCGACAGTATGAAAATCAAGAAATTACACCGCTTTATTTGCGTCATAACTCATAACAACAGCATTATGACGCGTTCCCTTGTCTTAACGTTAACTTGACATACATCTTAGTAGGTATAACCTCGAAAATTTCATCGTGAAACATCAAACGAGGCATTTAACGCATTAAATATTGAACAAAAATACTCACTTTTACATCGGTGTGTCAGCTAGCATTGTGAAATCGCCCCTACATTATTCGCCCGTCGCACGCGAACGCGATGTATTGCCCGAATAGCTCTAGCAGGCGCGTAGCAGTGCATGTCGCTGGAAGTAGGCAGCGGCAGTGACATGCGCGACCGCCCACGCTCGATAACGTGCGCCGCCGCGCCGCCCTTAACCTGGACACAGTGTAAATACAACCAGTAGTACAACTGCGCCGTGAAATATAACTGCGCGTCACGTATTACCGGGAGCACACCCTGGTGCATTGGTCATTGAATAAACTTAAATGCACAGCACAGCTCAATGACCACTGTACATAAATATACTCCCTAGTAATTTGCCCCTCGAGAATATGATAACGCGTCTACAATAGTTTGACACGCCTCATTTGACTTTGTAATGAATGCACAGTACGCAAAACTTATGTAGTAACGTGACATTGACCGTTACAACTTAAATGCGCATTTGATAATTGCGTTCACAATAATTTTGTTTCGTATACATTATGCAGGAACCGATTGAAACAATATCAATTTAACTTGAAAATGCACGAGAAACCACTAACCTATATTAATTATTACTTAAGTTATTATCATAACATAGTAAAGTATCAGACTATACATGTCCCACTGCTGGGCAAGCAACTGAGCAGGGCAACTCTATACAGAGTGTATTCGAAAAATATGCAGGTTTCTTCACGATGTTTTCCTTCACCGCTGAGCACAATTCAGCACCTAAAATTCACAATTTCATTGGTTGCGGCACCGGGAATCGAACTCAAGTTGCTCGATTATATTAAATTAAAGTTAACTGTATTAAAATTATAAAAGTTAATTGAATAAAATTATAAAAATTATAACATAAGCTGTTACTATTTAAGATAGTCATTATTATTGGTAATAATTTTAAAGATTGTACCTGCCTGGAGTGGACTGTTTGAGAAAAAAGGACTATGTAGAGTAAAGAAAATCTATATTCTCAAAGTAGAATCACGGATATTTGAGGTCTCTTAGAACAAAAAGGCCTTTAGCGTATGTAACTTTTATTTCATTAAATTCAAAACTAGGGACTTAAACGTAGAAATTTAAAAATTACTAGAACTAGTAACTAGGCATGAACGAATAGTATAATCGGCGACACGCCGACGCCACGAATACCTTTTGACCGAACATTAGACAAAATTGTTTGGTCGTCGAGTGATGGTAGAACATATACGAACATTGTTTCGCGCTCATTTATTAAAGTGTAACTCACTGCCCATTTTTAGATATAGTTTGTTGTTAAAACGTCACAGTTTATCGTACTCTCTATATTTTGATATGTTTATAAAATAAAATTATATAAGCTCTAACTAATAGGGAACAATTACCACCTTTAAAAAGTAATCACCCGTATAGGTAGGAAATGCCGCATGGAAAGAAAATTACGGAGTTAACTAAAAAAATTTGGAAAAATTTGCCTAAAACGGTTGAAAAATTAGTCTTCATCCACAGTAGAAGATATATGCCCCTATTAAATTTTGACTAAGAAAATTTTATAGCTTTTTTGTTACTTTTTTTAATACTGAAGTTGATAATGTATACCTGATTACTTTAATGAGTAAAAAAAAATACAACAATATAAAAAGAACATTTTAGTAATATTTGTCTAAGACAAAATATCTTACTGAAGTATTTAGTATTCTCCTGAATAATACTTTATAGGGAGAGTAAGAGAGTAAGAGAAAATGAACACTCACAAATTATTATGATTACAAACGAGAGTCAAATACATCAACTTTTGACCGCCCCACACAAAGGTCCGATATATATGATCTGACTACTTGTTTCCTTCTCTACAACCCAAGGCATACCACACGTGATGTATCTTAGTATTTCTCTGTTGAGAGCCTTTAATATTATTTTCTTTGAAGTGATATACTTGTTGTGTTGTTCATTATGCCATTTTTCTGTCATGTTTCTGATGTTAGTTATATATAAGATTTTATATACTTTTACGCTGTTACTTACATCATACACCACTACTTATACGTTTTTCCATCTCTTACAAGCACACATAAACCCAAACATATAATATCGCTACGACTCTTATCTCATAAATCTCTTCTCGAAAAGCTTTTTAACAGTTACCGCATTAAACGTAAACAAATCCTAATGACGTACTTCACTCTTAATATCTCACGAAATGGATTTTAATCTACGCAACTTGAACATGATAGACAATATTGAAATTGCTGAAACTCTAGAGTGTAAATGTGATGAATTTTCTTCTTATAAACTTGTTAAAAAAAAGCGACCTTACAATAATATCCCAAAACATACACAGTATACATTGTAACTTTGACGATTTTTTGGTAACACTGTCTAGTCTTTCTTTTGACCCGTACGTTTTAGTTCTAACCGAGTGTTGGCTTAGTTCAAGTAAAACTATTCCACAACTGCAGAATTATGTGTGCCACTAAATCCAAGCTCAACCAAAACGACGGTGTAGTTGCCTATATTAAAAATACTCTTCAACATAAAGTTAAGGAAATTGGACTTACTCATGCTTCATGTCTTCTGTTGGATGGACTTAATAATACTGCTCTCTGTATTTACTAACTCGCATTTATTAACTCGCTATGTTCACACGTAGACTCATTATCTCCAAAAAAAAAACATGATAATCACGGGAGACATCAACATAAACATTACACCCATATCAGACGACTCGTCTCCAGAATATAAAAATAGAACGTACTATCTGAGCGCACTCTCTGAATATGGTATCCTTGCTGGTCATACTTTACCTACTAGAGGAAAAAACTGCTTAGATCACTTTATGCTCAAGGTCAATAAAATTAAATACTCATGGTTTATTGCAGTATTGCATACCGCGATTACTGATCATTTTACTACCCTTCTTATTTTATCTAAGTCTATACCTAAACATCCTGTAGCTAAAATTAAAACTAACATAGATTATACAATGGCCCTTAAAGATCTTCAACAAAAAAATCTCTCCAAATTACTATTTTGCAATGACCCGAACACAGTAACTAACCGTCTGATTACTGACCTTAGTGAGTCGATAAAAGCCACAATAGATATAACACCACAAATATTCTATTACCTAAAAGTCAACGCACGTTAAAGCCTTGGATTACTCCTGGCATTTTACGTTGCATTAAAAACCGGAACATATTCCAAAAAAATGTGCGTATAGAGAACCATAATGATATATTAAAAATTCGCTACAGAAACTACTGCAATAACCTAATCAAAAAACTAAAACGGAAATATGAAAGGGACATACTTTCTAAATCAGTTAAAGATAATAAACTATTGTGGAAAAAAAAAACCCATTACTTTTAACGATGACATTAATGAGCTAATCAACCTTAAAACTAATCCTAATGAATCGGCGAAGTTTATACACAGTTACTTCACAAATATAGGAAAAGAGCTTGCCCGTAGTATACAATCAAACAATCCTCCAGTTGTAAACTTCTCTAGCAATTTAGCCCAGGTTAATTCGTTTGTTCTGTTGGAAACTGACTCGATTGAAGTAGAGGCAACCCTCATGAATTTAAGACCCAGTACCGCTTCGGGCTGGAAAATATTCCTATTACTTTCCTGAAACTGGCTAAGAATGAACTTGTTCCTATAATTACCCACCGTTGTTAACCTGTGTTTTCAGCAAGGCATATTCCCAGCTCCATTAAAAAAATCTATCGTTATACCGGTTTACAAGAGTGGTGATAGAGACGACGTCAGTAACTATAGGCCAATTTCCATACTTCCAGCTATTTCAAAAATATTGGAAAAATCTCATCAACTCGAGACTTTTAAAATAATTAAATAAATATTAAATACTATCCTCTACTCAATTTGGGTTTAGACAAGGCAAATCCACTGAAGATGCAGTGAGTGCTCTCTGTCAACTTGTGACGGAACAGGTTGATCTGGGGAATAAATGCTTATCGGTGTTCTTGGACCTCAAAAAAGCCTTTGTCACGGTCTCTATCCCAATTCTTGTACACAAATTGGAAAAAATTGGTACAGAGAGAGAAATTGGACTGCACTTTCTCTCTTTAGACGTTATCTTTCTGATCGGACGCAACGGCTGAAACTGAATCAATACACCAGTGATGTCACAGTTACGTACGGCGTCCTCCGGCGCTTCCCCGGGGGACGCCGTATGTGCCGTACGTGTTGGGCCCTACTCTGTCCTTAATATACATTAACGATCTTTGTAGTTTGCAAGTTGACAATACCCACATTTTATCATACGCCGACGACACAGCTATTCTCTTCGCTGGGAAAAACTGGTCTATAGTTAAAAATAATGCAGAAGAGGGCATGAGATTTATAGCCAAATGGTTGAAGGATAATCTTCTTACCTTAAAGATAGCCAAAACAAATTATATTTGTTTCAGCATCTTAACACACACACAACCTAATCCTGATTTCAGACTCAAAATTCACTCTTGTAATTTCGTCTTGAGATCTGATGATTGTGATTGTCCTTCTATTGAAAAAATCGACAAAGCTAAGTACTTGGTGATGATTCATTCAAGACTATCCTGGCATCCGCATCTTGATCAAGTCACTAACTGAGTAAGGAAACTGATCTGGATATTCAAGTCCTTAAGACATGCGATGCCTAGGAAGAATGTGATCGATCAGAACTCCCGTAGGAATATTCTTAAAGAAATGTATACTGCGCTGGCACAATCTATCTTAACTTACTGCATCCCGATCTGGGGTGGAGCGTGCAAAACCAAGATGATAGAAGTGGAACGTGCACAACGCGCTCTTCTAAAGGCAATGCACTTTAAACAGAGAAGATTTCCAATGGATAGATTATACTCCATCAGTAATATCCTGTCAGTGAGAAAACTTTACATTCTCCTCACTGTCTTGAGGAAACATAAAGCAATAACCTTCGATCATAGCATAAAACAAAACAAGAGAAGAAGATTCATTACTGTTCTAAAGGTAACAAAAACAGCATTTGCTAGAAATCAATATATAAATCGCTCAGGATATCTATACAATAAAATAAACAAAAAGCTTAACATCTACAGCACAACACTTAAAAACTGTAAGCAAATATTGACTAATTTTCTTTTGTCTTTAAATTATGATGAGACACTCATTATTGCAACTAAATAAATAAACACACTCATTCACACCCCATCAAAACACTATTTATCTACAATTTACATGCTGATACAATTTATAGTATTAAACTTTGATTTATAGTTATATATGTATAATATGCTCTTTTTATTTCGTTTACATTTTATTTTTTTATTTTCTTGTGAGTTGTTCATTATATAATCAGCTATGGAAGAGCGAAGTCACCTGTCTCAGGCATTTTACTTCGCGACTTCGATCACTGAATATGATAAATGTAAACAAATATTTAATGTAATAAACATTATTATTATTAACCTTACTTTCTTTTCTTCTTTAATACTATACTTTTCTTTTTTCGATTCCACATCATTGCTTTCTTTATTTTTTGTCGATCCAGATGATTTTGTTATTTTTTGTCCTTTTTTAGTTTTTTCTTTTGTTAAAAACACCAGTTCATATTTTCTTATTATTACGTCGGTAAGATCAAAAAATATTATGCCTATTTTATTAGAACAGAGAGAAGAGAGACCCCCGACATATCACAAGAATACAGGCTTACGCCGGAATTTTCTAACCTTACCATACAGAAGTATTTGTAGGTCCTTGTCAAAGGTTGGGAATGCATCGACAATCCCACAAGTTTTAATTTATATCTATATTAATATATATTATTTTTCGGGTCGTCAATTTATATATAATTTGACGACCCGAATGGCGTTGTAGGTAGTGTACCTGCCTCCTGCGCCAGAGGGTGTGGTTTCGATCCCCACTACTGGATAAATGTTGTGTGATGAACATAGTATTTTTCTAGTGTCTGGGTGTTAATATATGTATAATATGTATTTATTTACAAAAGAAAAGTATGTTTAAGTATGTCTATCAGTTTTCTAGTACCCATAGTACAAGCTTTGCTTAGTTTGGGACTAGAGAATGTTGTGTAAAAATGTGTCCTAAAATATTTATTATTATTATTATTATTAATGAGCTTGCAACTTTTCCGCACAGCATATATAAGGTCTAAATTAACCAACTTAAAGATAATATTTGCTTATTGGGGTCTATGGGTGTAACAGTTAATATTATTATCATTTTGTTTACAATAGTAATATAGTAGGAACAGAAACAAATATAATATTTTTAAAAACGTTTATTTCATAAACAGTACGAAATAATAAATAGATTCATCATCGAGAGTGTCCCAAATTTCTACTTTCCGACATCCTCCTTGAGCGAAACCGTTCTGTTGAAAACCATCTGAAAGAAAAACGAAATTAACATTAGAAAGACAAAATAATTTTAATTATTTATGCTAAGAAAATGTAATAAAACAAGAACCATTCCACTATAATCACGATAATCAAAAAAGCCATGTTTAATAATAAATTCTGTAATCACATTCTTAATTCAAATGTATATAATATACATTTCTAATGGAGACATTTCCCAGTTTTATGGCATTTAATTTAAATCCACACGGACTGGTTTTATGCATAATTCACGGTCACCAGATGGGCGAGCAGTCATTATCAAAGTGTTACAACGGAAATAGATGCTGTCGCAATAAGTGCCGATTTAATGATGAATTAAACGTGTCGAGGCCGTGATAGCTGGACACTGCCAGGCGCTCGCCTTTATTTTAATATACTCGAGCAACCTGAGTTCGATCCCCGGTGCCGGCACCTATGAAATTCTTAATTTTAAGTGCTGATAAATCAGCACGTGCTCCGTGGTGAAGGAAAACATCGTATGGAAACCAGCATATTTTCGTAATAATAACAAAAATATAATTATGTGAAGTCCGCAAATCCGCAGTAGGGCCCCGTGGACTATGCCCTTATACCCTTTGTACAGAGGAGGCCTTTGCCCAGCAGTTGAATATGTATAGGGCGTTACTATACTACTTTAAAAAAAATTCGCTCACTTTTTCTGGTGTGGTGTCAGGATCGACAGAGAAGAATCCGATTCTTTCGAATTGAAACTTGTCGTAGAATTTCGCTGATTTGATGGACTTATCCGCGTACGCTTCTACCACTTTCAAGGTGTCCTGGCGACAATCTGAAAGGAATCCCCCAGGGACTTCCGCTGGATCCTCTGGATTTTTGTGTTTAAACCTGAAGAATAGAGCGTGCTATAGAAATGTTTGCGTACTTATCATAACGTAATGTCGTTCAACTTTATAAATAGCAAAGAAAAAATCACGAACTGGTAGCGGGATATTTATTAGTTTAGAGAAATGTTCGTTGTATTTACCAGATTCCAAATGATTGTTTTATATTGTAGTCCTCAAGATAAGAAACATTCATATTCAGTGCGATTGTTATTGTTTTGTTTGTTTTTTTATTATGTTTACATTTATTTTAAGTTTTTCTAATATTATTTTACATATTGTGTAGTTATATTATTATTTTTAAGTGTTGTATGTATGTAATGTGCTTAGACCGTTAAGAAACGTTTCTTCTTCTTTCTTCTTCTTCTTCGTCTATTAAATTTAGATTTATACTGTAATTAGTTAATGAATATGTTTCAATTACTACTTACAATGGTTCGTAGAGCCTGACTTCGACGGGTATGGGATCAGAAACCCAATGAATGAAAGCTTTCGGCTTTGTAGCCGTCGCTATTGGCTCTGCTTCACACTCAACCTCTACGACTTTACCCGCTCCGTCTTTAATAAGTTTAGATACCTGGCCGAAAAATAATTAAATGTTTAATTTTGCATTATTATCTGTTCGTTGATCTCATAAAATATACAACAGACCATTAAGTTAATTTATAAAGTGTTGAATAATTTCGTTTACCAGCATGCATATTTTACAGATAAACAAATACATTTTAAAGCATAAAATGGTAGCAATCATTTGTACTTTTACCGAATGAGACGCCAAATTACGTATTTGTACCCATTATAAAAGACTAGAGGCTATATATCTTTTTAAAGACGTTTAATTTATTGACACCCGTTCTTTTGTGAAATCGATTATTAAAAATCACCGTCGCTTATCTGAACTGGGTATACCAATGACAAGTTGCAAAATATACATTAAAATATGATTAGTTAATCGTGAAGCATGCTATTTTTCTCATATGTACTCTCACTATCTACGCCATTGTAATAAAAATCAGTGTAGTTTAAGTGGTATGATTTTGTTTTCTCAATGTTCCACAAAATTAACAAATATGTATCCGATCTATGTCAACAGTCGAAACCAATTGAAAATTTGATTTTACATCTCGAAAATCTCGGCTTTTTAGTTTTATAATAAATGTTAATATTAAATGTTAATTGACTTAATCAATATTTAATATTAATATAAATTTTCCATTGATTATGGTATCCATTTAGATCAGCGGACTAAATCCAAAAACGTAAACTTTAATAAACAGAAGTCAGAAAAGTTAAAATTTTACCTTTATAACAAATTCAGAGTGTCTCAGCCCTACACATTGTGTTGGTGTCAATCTTCGATAGCTCTTTTCCGGTATCTCCTTGAAATCTGTGGACTCTATGTACAGCACTTTGTTGAAGGACGCTTTGTGAGATCCTCTCTCGGGTTCATTGGGAAAATCTGGGACTGTATAGACTATCGGCCCGTTGTTTGTGTAATTTCTTATTGTTATTTTTAAAGGCTCTAAGACTACCATCGTTCTAAAAATAAAAATACAAGTAATTATTTTAAAAATAGGCAAGTTATAGCTCAATCATAGATATAAATTTTCGTATACAAAGCCTATGTTAAAATTATTTAGTTAGCATATACGTCAAGTCGTGATAGCTCAGTGTACGGGAGCTCGCCTTTAATTCAATATACTAGAGCAACTTGAATTCGATCCCCGGTATCAGCACCAATGAAATTGTTAATTTTAAGTGCTGACTTATCACAGGTTTCGTTATCATTTTAAAACTTGAGGTAACCTACACATTCTCGAAATAATGAGATAATAAAAATATTTTGATATATGAAGTCCGCCAATCCGCTGTGGGGTAGTGTGGTTGTCTATGCTCCTATACCCTCTGTGTAAATGATATACAACGTGGCAATGGCAAAAATAACAAACATGTTTTTAGTATCCGGTTTGAAGTCGGATTTTTTTTTGTTAAACATTATTTATTCAAATAGTTAGTTTGAAAATATTTTTTTTAATTATAAATATTTTTCAACGTTTATTTGTATTTTTTTAATATTACTGGCAAGTAGCTTTAGAAGTGTGTTCATTTGAAGTCGCGGTTGTAACCATGCCGTATATAATGTTATATACCGCTAAAGGTTATTTACATTAATCGATAATGTAATACAATAATACCTGGGCGCGGTTACATTGAGGGCGTCCCTGACGGCCGCGTCCAGCATGGTGGGGTCCACCGCCCCCACGGCCCCCGTCACCCCTAGGCCCGCGCAGAACGAATTCACAGCCGCAGCGGGGACGCCGCGACGGCGCAACGCGGTCAGAGTGTACAGTCGCGGATCGTCCCAATCTGAAATGAGCAGCATGAGAAAACTATGACTCAAACTCAACATGAGCACGTTATAACCTCGTCCGAACATGAGCACATTATAACCTCATCCCAAAACAAGCTAATTATATCCTTATCCCAACATGAGTACATTATAATCTTGTTCCAATACGAGTACATTATAACCACATCCTAAAATGAGCTCATTATTTCCTCATCCCTACATGAATACCTTATAAACCTTGTCCGAATATGAGCATAATATAATCTCATCCCCACATGAGAACATTTTAACTCATCCCAAAACAAGTTTATTATAACCTCTTCCTAACATGAGCACATTATAACCTCATCACCACAGGAGAACATTATAACCTCATACCAAAATGAACTCATTGCACCCTCATCTCAACATGAGTACATTATAACTTCATCCCAAAATGAGCATATTATAACTTCGTCCCAACATGAGCACATTTTAACCTCTTCCCAACATGAGAATATATGAGGTTAATTTAAATGCTTATTTATGTTCCTACTCCCCTCTTCCATGTTTGGATGAATAAATATATGTATACACAGGCTTAAGGAGTATATAAATGAAAAAAATCTTTAATTATTACAAGCGGCAGTTAAATTTTCATATTAGCAGTTAAATACTATATAATAATATATACTCAAATGTTAATGTTAATGTTAATATTGTTCTTGAACTCAGATGGATCATATTATCATTTTTATTGTTATAGATAGTTTTCAAATTGAAATAAGGAAATTCATTGTTTAACGACTTCACCCCTTATATAAATTAACTTATCAAATGAGATACTTATCAGTGTTATTGTTAAAAAAAAAACCAGAAAATATGTACCATTCACAATTCCTTCATCAATGAGCTTCGCTATTTTCCGTTTAGAAACAACAGTGTAATTGACATTGAGACGGCCATATTCCCATTGCACAGGGCAATATATATCCAAAGCATTACATAACCAGTAATATGAAGATCTGAAATGGTACACAATCATGTTAAAATAGTTACCATACCATATTTTACTATTTCATTATTTTTAGGACAGAACTACAAAATTTACCTCCTAGACTGAAATTCCTTGGTACACAGTGAATGTGTTATATGCTCAATACTATCACATAAACAGTGGGTGTAATCATATGTGGGGTATATACACCACTTGTTGCCTGTTCGATGATGGGGCTTAAACTTTATCCTGTATGCAACAGGATCCTGTTTGCCCTCTTCCAAAGTTATCTTCATCCTTAAGGTAGCTTCACCTTCATCAATTTTGCCATTTTTCATGTCCTGGAAACAGGGAAAAGAAACTGTATGAAAAAAAAAAAAAATTAAAACATTCATAAATTCAATAATTTGTAATTCAAAAAATACATTCCTATGTTGATATATTGTTATTTCAATGCATAGCATAACTTGTATTAAACAAAGTATTTACATTAAACTTATAAAAAGGAACAAGTACCTCAAACAGCTGTAGACTCTCTTCAATTGGTCTATTTCTCCATGGTGATGGGGGTGGATTAAAACCCTTAATTTCGTCTGATTTTTGATGACAGACATAAGCTAAATCTTTTTTAATTAACTGAACTGCCCATTCATAAAGTTGGTCAAAATAATCTGATGAATGGGTAATCTTATATGGCTTATATCCTAAAACATTAAATAAGTTAGACACAATTCACTATATTATGATGGTTATAAAATGTTACAAAGGAAAAAAATTACCTAACCATTCCACCATATCCTTTATACCCACAAAGAACTTTTCTTCTTCTTTTTCTGGGTTTGTATCATCATATCTTAAGAAACACAAGCCATCATGAGCAGCTGCATAACCAAAGTTTATGTTAATAGCTTTTGCATGCCCTATGTGTAGAATTCCATTAGGTTCTGGTGGAAAACGTGTCCGTACCTTCCCTGATGTTATTTTTAAATGATCTTCAAGTAATTTTTTCGTATTTGGTGTTACAATGTAACCATCAGACTTATAATTTTCACCAGGAGCATGAAATGGTAATTTCTTCATTAAATCCATCATGGACACTGCTCCACCAGTAGATATAACCGAGTCTGATTTATCTGATACTTTAATGTCTGAGAAGATAAAAAAGATGCTTTTTTTGATAATTGTTAAAATGTATATCCGCAAAATTGTTAACAAAAGTAATGTAACCAACCTTGTAAATCATCTTTCTTCATTTTTTTTCCAACATCATTACTCTTTATTTTTTTTTCAGTTTTGGGGACAGGAGCCAGGTCAGATTCAGTTTTAGGACCCAATAAATCTAAAATCTAAGTGTTACAAAATTATAAATGGTTGTTAAATTTATAAAAGTCAAGTAACTACTTCCTTACAAATGGGTATGATATCAGAATCTATCTAGTTAAATCATTTGTCTTGGAGTACTCCAAGACTACTATGCAATAACTTAGTATAAAATATGTAAATATTACTAAATTTAATGATTTAAAATATAATAGATATGTTGTTTATATAATACCTGAATATCTACTTCACTTTTAATAGCTTTTCCATCAGCCCATCGTAATTCAGCTCGTACTGCTTGCATTATGACACCTGAATTAAATCTGTATCTTTTTTCTAATAACTCTTGTTTATATTTGGCCATGTGTTTTTCAACAACTTGTTCGATTTGTTCTGGAGATATTGAAATACCGACGCCACATGCAGCTTCAAATTTAGGAATATCAACGGTGGTTTCATTAACACAACTTAAAAGATATTCAAGTGCAGCATCAATCCGTAATGTTGAGTCCAGTTTTCCATTAGCAATATACTTGCAAACGAATGACACTTTATCGACTATTTGTGCCTTGATTTTAGTTGCCAGATGGTACAGTAACATACCAGTACCAGTCGGCGAGTTATGAAGATCAATCTATAATATTTAAATATAACATATTAATAAGTAGTATTGCATTTTCAGTTTGTAGTATTATTCATAATTAACATTATAATAAAAATTACTTTTATAACTAACCTCATTCAAAGCGGCGAGTAAAATGTTCGTAACATTAACATTTTTTAACGTTTCTTTTGCTTTCTGTTCACTTAACCCTAAAAGCTTTAACTTTTCTATCGTTTCTTCTGGTGTCATTTTGGTCTATTTAGTTGTAAAAATTATGTTAGAAAAATTCTAATTCAAATAAGAATTGTAGTAGCTTTGAAGCTTTGACATACAAAATGACAATTGACAGCTGATGCAAAATTGCAAAACGTCAACGTCACCATGTAAATGGCACAAAAGCAGTGTTGCCACTTACTAAAAAAATGACAAATCATGATGAAGTAACCGTAGATGCTCAATTTTTTACTCATTTCGGTCAATTAAAATGGTGATGCATGATATATAATAATTATCCATGACCTTAAAAATTACCCTACTCTTTTTTTGACCCTAAAAAGGCTTATAAATATATATATATATATATTTATAAATTTGTTGCTAAAAGCCCAGCCTAAGGCTAAGACAAGCCTGCACACAAGATTTTATACAAACTGGGATTGATAGGCCACTCTTACTCTTATTCAGTTTACAGATGGCGTAAATTGGCAATGTTTTCAGGCAGACCCCATAGATGGTGCTCTCATAATATGTTCTCAACTACGTATTATATTTTTATTATGAATCAATAAATTATCCAAAACACTTCAAAATTTCAAAACTACCTATGTGAAATTATACTTCAAAATACTAATTTTAAATATAATTAACACAGTCTGTGAGCTTTTCTGATAATTTTCTAATTCTATAAACTGTTAGTTATCAACTAACAGTTTAGGATTAAATGAAACGATTTGATTAAGATTATCGGCAAATGTTTAAAACAAAAGAATTTTCCATTTTACTGCATATAATTTGAATGTATATTTAAAGAGATAATATGTCATAGATATGGAACTACGACCTTGTCATCTATTGAATGATATTTCTATTCAAGGATTTTTTCATATACCTACAACCCGTCAATCCATTTATTTAGAAATAAATTGCTTTATGACCAAGAAAATTTTATCTAGATGAAATTTGTTTTTGGTAAAATTTCAGCAGCCCACTATTTTTATATAGCAAAGAAAAATGAAAATTTAATGATAGAGAAATAGAAGATAATAATACCTAAAAACTAAATCAATAAGCAGAATTGGCTAATCACTTATAGTTTTCGAGAAAAAACATAATTAAAATTTGTTATTTTCACTAAAGAAAACCGCCATTAATACGCTAATAACATTAATTTTATACAAGTGGTAACTCACGTTTTTACTTTATTGGATGATACAGAGATACTGTATACTTAAAATCAAATCACAAACACATATTTTTTACATGGCGAGCAGACATTATCAACAATTTTTAATATTTAAGGTTTAACTTTCAAAATTAAAATCATAACAAAAACAATTCAATAATAACAATAATACTATTGAATACAGATTCACATATATACTACATACCACAGGTATTCAATTAATTTAAGTATCGATTAATTATTATGATTTTATATCGATTATTAAATAAATTACAACATTTTAGTTGTTTAATTAAAATTTTAAAATAAATAAATAATTTATCTCTGTTTATGGCAGGCCTTGGAGATGTCATCAGGACTTGTTATTAATTAAGATAAATTGAGTTCTACATTTATTTGTCATAAAATTAGGTAAGGTTCAAAATGAGTCACAGATCCGACACAGTGCACCCCGACTCCATGTGGTCTTGTCATGTGAAAATACTTGTATAAGCTGTGGATGACATGTACTTCATTAGAGATGATTAAACTGGGCTTGTCAACACTTATGTGTTTTAATACAGTTATCTTAATAACCTTTTAATAACTAATTAACAGTTATTACATGGCGCTGAGGACTTAAAGAACTTATTGTGATAAATATAAAAACCTAAGTGGAAGTAAACCGTTGTAAACGAAAGATGGATGCGTTAAAACCACCGCCACCATTAAGCCTTATGGGCGACTTGAAACAAAATTTTCAAAAATGGACACAGCAATATGATATCTATATGATTGCTAGCGGGACGGGAGGTGATGAAAAAAATTAAAGATGAGCAGAAAAAGGCAATATATTTGCACTGCTTAGGCGCAGAAGCACTAAACATATACAATGGTTTCAAGAACAAAGAAAAGTTATCTTATGTGGAAGTAAAACAGAAGTTTAATGAATATTGTTCGCCACCCGGAAATGAAACTTTTAGTAGACATGTCTTCTTCAGCAGAGAAAAAAAAAGAGAGATGGAGAAGTTTTGATGAATTTTTCTGTACGTTGAGAAAATTGGCGGGAGACTGTGGTTTTGCAGACCTAGAAGAAAGCTTAATAAGAGACCAAATAATTTTAGGCCTAAATGATGCCAAATTAACAGAAATATTGCTCAAGGAATCAACCTTAACATTGGATAGCTGCATGAAAATATGTAAAGTGGCTGAGAGTGCTGCAAAACAGGTTCAAGTCATGACAGAAAAGACAGTTGAAGCAGTTACAAGAAAGCAAGAATCTCCAAGGAGAAGGCCTAATCAGAATAAAACCAATTTTCATAATAAACAACAGCCAGGTAAGAGTGCAGAAGGATCAGTAAGGTTTAAGAATAATAATTGTGAAAGATGCGGAGGAGTGCATTTTCAGCGGTCCTGCCCAGCCTTTGGAAGAAGATGTGCTAAGTGTAATCGATATGGACATTACATGCAGATGTGCAGAACAGTTGGTGCTGTGTGTGTCAGCGATGACGATAGTGATGACTCATTAGTAGTGGGGTCGGTAACTGTGGGCCAGGTTGATACAGAGGACTGGATTGTTGAGGCAAAAGTGAGAGGACAGAAGATGAAATTTAAAGTGGATACAGGATCGCAGGTTAATATTTTGACTAGTACTATAGTGAAAAAAACTAGACTTACATATGACAGAAACTTGTACAAAATTAAAAAACTTTGATGGCTCAACTATAGAAAAACAATAGGTATGACTAAAACTAGAGTGAAATTCAATAAACAAAAGTATGTACTTGACTTTTATGTGGTAAATTTAAAACTACTAATGTGCTGAGCTACAAAGCTGCTGTGCAGTTAGGTTTAATAAATAAAGTTGAAAATATTTCAAAGGACTGTGTAGCTCAGGACATTAGTGAATACAAAGAGTTGTTTCATGGTTTAGGAAAATTGAAATATGTATACAAAATTAAATTAAAAGACAATTGTGCACCTGTAGTGGAGCCACCAAGGAAAATTCCTTTTAAATTAGTGGATAAAGTCAAAAATGAGCTTGATCGATTGGAGAAACTTGATGTAATAAAGAAAGTTCAAGAACCTACATAATGGGTTAATTCTATGGTTATTGTTAAAAAAAGTCAAGATAAAATTAGATTGTGTTTAGATCCACAAAATATAAACAAATGTATCATAAGGGAACGTCATAAAATACCTACCTTTGAGGAACTTACTTCAGCCATGCCTGATGCCAAATATTACTCAGTGTTAGATGCAAACAAAGGATTCTATCAGATCTTGTTAGCAGAAGAAAGTCAACTGCTAACAACATTCAATGCAGGTCAATTTGGAAGATATTGTTTTAAGCGGTTACCATTTGGCCTGAATTCTGCCCCTGAAGTATTTACTAAGTGTTATTCAGAAATTTTTAATGATATACAGGGGGGTAGTAGTGACTTATGTTGATGAAATATTGGTATGGGGAGATACGAAAAAAAACACATGATAAAAGATTACTCCAAGTTTTAGAAAAGGCTCGGCAAGCTGGTGTCAAGTTCAATAAAGAGAAATGTGTCATAGGTGTAAAGGAGGTTAAATATGTGGGTCATATCCTATCTAGTGAGGGCCTTAAGCCAGACCCGGAAAAGTGCGAGCTATTGTGGACATGAAAGAGCCAACAACAAAAAAGGAATTACAAACTGTCTTAGGTATCATAACATACATATCTAAATTTATACCAAATACATCAGAATTGACTAACTCACTAAGACAGTTACTAAAAAAAAATGTAGAGTACATTTGGGGTGACAAACAAAAAGAGGATTTTAAAAAAATAAAACAATTTCTCACTAGTGCCACAGTGCTCAGATACTTTAATGTCAACAAACCAGTGACTCTTTCAGTCGACAGTAGCTCCACAGGGTTAGGAGCTGTACTCCTACAGGATAATTTACCAGTTGCTTATGGGTCAAAGACCTTGACAGAGTGCCAAAAGTCATGGGCACAAATTGAAAAAGAAATGTTGGCAATAGTATATGGATGTGAAAAGTTTCATCAATATATTTATGATAAACATGTAATAGTTGAATCTGATCATAAGCCTTTAGAATACATATTTAAAAAAACAATTAATGAAACTCCACTAAGACTACAGAGGCTTAGATTGAGAATTCAAGGGTATGACCTGGAAATAAGATACAAACCGGGAAAAGAATTATTTGTAGCTGACGCTTTGTCTAGGAATAGTTTACCAGACAAAATATGTAATAAAGATTTGGATCAACATGTAGAATTGCATGTTTGCTTGATAACGGAAGGATTAAAATTCACAGAA